CTGGTAATCCATTCACTTCAGGTGTATTAAACTCCTGTGAAATTATGTTCAGAATAACACAGCGTCTGTATCGCCTTTTAATTGTATTAATTAACTTGACTTTAGTTTTCTAGAGGCATAATATTTAGTGTTTTTGCTTAAAAAACTGTTATGAGCTAAATAACAATTTAAAAAAAAAACCTTTTGGTTGCTATCGCCTTGTACGGACAGATTTTTGCTCTCCTGGGAAGGTTGACTGTTGCTAACTTGGATGGATTGACTATTGTTAATTATGGATAATCGATCGCTTGATAGACCTGATGGTTCAGGTACTTTGAATATAGGTTCAATTTTCTCAAAAGGAACAGAAAAAGCTACGCCACTACCACCAGTACCAGTAGCAGCAGAAGTAGGTTCTTTGTGAACACCTTCTTCTAGATCGAAAAGTAGGTTTTCGACGTCCTCTAATGGAAAATCATCGCCAAACATATAATCGTCATTATCATTGTCATTATCGTTATCATTATCATAATTAAGGTTTTGGTTTTTATTGTTGCCGTTGCTTCCATTGTCGACATCCTTGTTTTCTTGATTTTGTGCTGGGTTTTGTTGTGGGGCAATACCGAGTTCTTTTTCGAAAAGATCCAATGCTTCAAGATCTTCTAGTTTAAAGTCCGGTCCAAACATACTGTCATCGCTTTGGTTGTCTAACTGAGATGCCTGCTTCCATTTTTTTGATATAAATTGCTCTCCTTTGGTTTGGTCATTTGTGATAAATAGATCCTGGTTGGAGTAATTGTCATTGACTGGTTCTGGAAAGCAATTGGATTCTTGGTTTATTTTTTGTAGATAGTTTTGCTGTATTTGGTGAACTTTCACTTGAAGACTTCCACGGGATCTTTTAACACTCCACGGCTCTCTGACAAGCACAAATTCATAAGATATTTCGGTAAGTGTTTATTTGCAGCTTTATTTCATTTCATTTTATTTATCTATTTATTTCATTTAAATTAATTTAAAAAACAAAGACAATGAGGTCAATGTACCTTTCGGTTGGTGTTATCTGAACAATATCTTTAGACTCTCTTGTTAATGTGTTGTTTTGCTTGGCGAAACTGACAAGATCTGTTCTTGGAGAAATCTCAACGTTTTTGCCTTAATAACACAGAAAAGAAAACAAAAGACATGATTAAGCGATGAAATGGATGGATGGATCCTTTTTTGTTTTTGTTTTTATTTTTTCAAGGATTGTGCATTATAATTTTTGATCATCAATCTAACCTTGTCGCATGCGTTGTCTCTTCACACTATATACTGTTGGAGACTTTTCCCAATCATCACTTCGATCATTGTCGCTGTTAGATTCTTTTCTTTTAGGAATACTCTGCTGTGAATCTGACATTCTAAGTTACCATGACAACTATTCTTATTCATTTTTATTTTTATTTCTATTCCTGTTCCTACGCGACCGCGTTTTTTTTTTTGTATGAGACAAAATTTTATTAGTTTTCCCAAATCAAATCTTACTTCCTATATCGAAGATGTATATTCCTGGGGATATATTGGTAAAAACATACAATTGTGGAAGCGTAATAGTACAATAATATGTACAGATATAGTCGTTAATGTGGAGAGTAGGAAAATGCTTTTTTAACAAAAAAAGAGAGAGATAAGCAGTAAGAACATAAGAGAGGAGAAATGAGGGATAGGAAGAATTAGTCTATAGCATGAGATGACGGAAAGAAAAACTGCAGTGATTTTTACACAGAAATAACGGCATTGATTTGAATAAAAAAAATATCCAAGATTGTTATTCATTATGCATTTTAAAACAATATATTAATCAGTATTTGAGAAGAGAATAGGGGGATTGACGGCATATGAGGTACAAAGGATTGTAGATGGTCTGTAAAAATTATGGAGTATCTACCTTGTTTATATCAAAGTATAGACCTGCTATAAATAGGATATTTGGTAAGAGAAGGTATGGTAGTCTGATTCGGGTCGTCACACAGCAGGTACCTGAAGAGGTGACAAAGCTGGGACAAGAATATAAAGTCCAAAAGCAGGTAAAAGAAAATTATATAAGACATTAGACCATATTCAGTAGGTGGCGGTATATAAGGTCAAATACTACGTAGCCGTGTGTTATACTCGGCTCACGTTTTTAATATATATACTATGTTTTTCAAATAAATGAAAAAGATTTTGATAGAAATGAAGGCTTTATACTTCTAAAATAAAAAACTATTATAAAATCAAAATAATCTATTATCCTGCAAAAGCTTCTTATAATAGCTTAAAAAATATTGGCTCAATATTAAATTATAAGAAAAAATCAAGGAATTTATCCAAGATAATATAGTACAATCAACTATTACATTCACATAAAATTAAAATAATATAACTTATTAGCATTTAGAATATATCTTTATCTATTGTTTTAGAGTGTACTCAAGTAGATTTTTATATAGACTTGCATTTAAAATATACATCTCTTGAATAGATTATAAACTCGGGCCAATGTTAACTAATAGTAAAAAAACATTCTATTGAATAATTTCTATATGATTCTCAGAAAATAAAAGGTTTCAATAGCTTTTGAAAAGCTTATTGATATCATCAAAAGATAAGGCTTTAAAAATACAATACTATGAAAGAATATTGATTTTTGAGTGATTAAAAAAATTAATTATTTAATGTTGGCCACTAATATTTCTTTAAATATATCTATTTAAATATTAATATAACATAAATGTTATACTTTTGTTTATTATAGATTAAATCATCTTAATGATCTGGTTTATACTATATCTTTTTATTTGGTTGCTTTCATATATTAAATTATGTTTTTATTTTAGTTTATACTTCTTTTATTAATATTATATTATATTTTCTTTACAGAAACAATTAATTTCTATTGCTTTATAGAAAGATATATATGTAAATGGAAGGATGTATTGAAATATCTATAATAAAAGTATCAGTACAAAATGATAATATTTTAATTAATAAATATTTTGAATAAAGTAATAAAGCATAAAATAAAAACCTAAGTGTTAGTATTCAGAATTATAATAATTATTGTATTCAATATAATTATATATTAAAATTAAAAATATAAGCACTCAATAAAGATATATATTAAGTTATTGACAGCTAATAACAATACTAAAAGACATATTTTTTATACATAGAAATTAGATAAAAAAACATATCAAAACAACTGCTAAGACTCTGATTGATAGTACCAAATTATAATAAGTAAATCATAAAAGATAATAGTAGAGAAATATATATTATTTTGTCTCTTTAAGAAACAACACTCTCACAGTATCTATTTTTTCTATATATTAAGATATTAATCCATAAATAATCTCAAATATCTCATATATAATAGTCTATTAACTTTTCTTTTAGCTAAATAAAAATATTATCTTATTTAATACTTTAATTTTATTTTTTTATTCTTTTAAAAAAAAAATTCTAATCATTAATTTTAAATCTTAATTAAGAGTATTTTCAGTAATCTACTTTAACTTAACTTTTATTTTAGGTCTAAATATGTAATTAAAATCAGTATTTTTAGTAGTTTTGTAATATTTCAGGTACAAAATAATAGAAAATAACAAATTTGAAAAATGGAGACATATAGAAATACTTTGAAACTATATATAAGTTGTTCTTTATTCATAAATAAAAAGTGTCTCTTTTTATAAGAAAGCACAATTTGCTCTTGTCATTACGTCTTGGTTTCTTAAAACTTTCTTCCTTTACTATATTTGGTTATTAGAGTGTATTTACTGCTTAACTAATGTTGGTGTTACAATTATGACATCAAGTCATAAATCATACTTCTTTAGCTCTTAGCTATTCTTTTCTCTTTTATACTAAAGCTTTAGAACTTCTTACTAAATTAGCTTCATATTGTTCTTGTTGTAAATAAGTATTGACTACTGCTGTAATTGAGAATAAGTCTGAAGGAAATAATATAAGACCTCAGCTATTCTAGTCAAAGGTGTCTATCGATTACTTTATTATTTAACACACAGGTTTAGCATGCATGATAGTGATTATATTTCATATGATGATATCACCATAATATGGAATACATCAGTGGATTATTATAAGCATAATTATAACTCATAAACACATTTACTTTCGATGTTAATACTTCATTGAGACTACACACATTTATATAATTAATCATATATTAATTATCCCAAGATCACGTTGCTCTGATTAAGGCTTAGATAGGATCAATTACCTGACCCCAGTCATATAATTTTCCTGATCCAAAATAATATAAATAGTAGTAGTAGTTCAGTGTAGGAACCTCGTCAAACTTTGATACAAAATCTTTTCTCAATAAACAAAACCTACACAAGTTCTCACGAATCTTCGTTCCTAATCTCAAATCTTCAATTCTTCCTCTTAAAAACTTCTTCAACTTCAACCACCACAACAGTTCTGACACAGTTTACTTGGCAGTATAATATAGTTATCTTATCAATCTTTAAGATATTATCTACAGTACTAACTGTGATAATTATTGGCCTGATTACTTAATTGTTTATATATATTTTATGCTGACAAGATGATAGCTACTATGCTATCCCAATATGAATATGTTCTTATATGTGATAAATCCAATATCTGAGTGTCTGGATCACCACACTTCTTTAACTATTTTTAAATCGTTTATTTATTGCGTTTGATATGTTTTTTTATTTAGTTAAATATATAAGTGGTTTCTTGGTGTAGGTAAAAGATTTTTATTGAAAGGCTAGTGGGCACACGCACTATAGAGCTATTGCCCGCCTTTAAGAGTACAAAAAAGAATAATAGAAAGGAAAAAAACCCAAGGGGGAAAATGGGAAAAACTAGAAAGGGAAACTAAGCTAGGAGATACAAAAAAAGGGAGATAAGGATAAAATATGAAGCATGCATGAAATTCATGCAATAAATGGAAACTAAGACTAATACAGATCTAAACTAAAAATAAAAGGAGATGGCCAGTCTCATTTGGGTAGCCAGTTCAAGAAGAGTTGTCCTCTGTCTATTGCAGCATGATCAGCAAGATCAACCCCAGGGAGACAGATCTGTTCTATGTCCAACATTATTCTACAAAGAATTGGCCAAGTAAAGATCCAGAAGGCATTGTTCTTGTTGTTTTTAAGTTTCTTCAGAGGCAGCATATTGAGTACATAATCAATAGGATTGGGTTGTACTGTAGAATAGAGATGGAGACGAATTGCAGCTCCAGTGCACTCAATGACATGATGACGGCTGGTGGTATGCAATCCACAGGAACAAGGTTGAGGACGTCCAGGAAGCCACCCCATACGCCAACGTATGAATCTACTACGTTTATAGTTAGTCATGGGAAGCCAGAGAATAGGGTCAACACCAAGAGAAGGACGGCAAGCAGAGAGAAGTATTTGTTGAGAGCGTTGCAAGGAGAGGTCCTGGTTCAAAAATGAATGAATGGCATGCTTGCAAGCTTTAGAATCAGCATTCTGACGATTGGAGAGAGACAACCAAATGGGATTAGCTAAAAGCTTAAACCATTGGTGTGCTGGGTTTGTAAGAACAGGTCGAAGAAGAGTAAACAGAGCCTCATCAGGCAACCAGAAAGCACGATATACAAACTTGAAACCAAGAGTCAAGATCCTCTCCCTCATGCTAGGAAGATTCCCAAGGTGACGGAAAACACATGTAGAAGATGTGGAGTGACCTCCAAAAATCATGCGTAAGCATGTGTTCTGGGCCTTTTCAAGCACAGCAACTTGTTTAATGTTGAAGCAGGATATTGCCAGGCCATACTCAAATTGTGGACGAATAAACTGGCGATACAAACGAATTGAGAGTAGACGTGACAACCCAGTGTGATTGACACCAAGTGATTGAAGAGCACGCATGCTGTTGATAGCAGAGACACAATTACGAGAGATGAGAAGAGATGGATCAATAGTCCCCTTTGCTGAGAAGGGAACACCAAGGTAAGGAAACGAATGAGCATGAGGAATAGGCACATTGTAGAGAGAGAATGACAAAGGAGAAAGAGAACAAGAATGGTGAAGGATCATGCACTTGGTGGGACTCCAACGATATCCTAGCTCTTGAGAATGTTGTTCAGCAGAATTCAGAATGACAGGCATAGCTTCTGGTGTAGCAATGATGGCAACATCGTCAGCAAAAAGTAGTGAATTGACTAATTGATCATTGAGTCTTGTGGCAGCAGTCTGATTAAATACTGTGTTACAAAGTTCCCCTGCAGCACGAAGAGCAACTGGTAGAGAATTTATGTACACAGAATAAAGGTGGGGAGAAAGCACAGATCCTTGCATAACGCCAGTCAATGGTTGGAATGATCTGGATGTTGCACCAGAAAGCAACACCTCAACTTGAACATTGTCAAAAAGACTTTGTAACAAAGCTAACATAGCATCAGAGGCAAGAGGACGTAACGATGTCCATACTACAGAACGATCAACAGTGTCATATGCAGACTTGATATCAAGAAAAGCCAAGACTGGTGGTGCTTTGAATAGAGCTGTGTGACGACGGACCATCTCATGGAGACAAAGAACTTGATCAAGGGAGCTACGTTGACGTTGGAATCCACCCTGTGCAATATCAATTGTTGGAGACACATCTTCAAGAGGAAACTGTAGACAATATTCCATGGCTTTTCTCAGGATAGACGTTAAGCTAATGGGACGATAGTTAGCAGGGTCATGAGTATCACCCTTTTTAAAGATGGGGACAATTTGTGCAGTACGCCATGCAAGAGGTGCAGAACCCCATTGCCAACAAAGCTGGAACAAAAGACAAAGAACAGGAGAGACTTGCTTAACAATTGGGTGAAGCATTTCAGCACGAAGATGGTCAACACCAGTGTTGTGGTGGTTGAAGTTGAAGAAGTTTTTAAGAGGAAGAATTCAAGATTTGAAATTAGGAACGAAGATTCGTGAGAACTTGTGTAGGTTTTGTTTATTGAGAAAGATTTTGTATCAAAGTTTGACCAGGTTCCTACACTGAACTACTACTGCTATTTATATTGTTTTGGATTGGGAAAATTATATGACTGGAGTCAGGTAATCGATCCTATCTGAGCCTTAATCAGAGCAACGTGATCTTGGGATAATTAATGTATGATTAATTATATAAATGTGTGTAGTCCCAATGAAGTATTAACATCGAAAGTAAATGTGTTTATGAGTTATAATTATGCTTATAATAATCCACTGATGTATCCCATATTATGGTGATATCATCATATGAAATATAATCACTATCATGTATGCTAAACCTGTGTGTTAAATAATAAAGTAATCGGTAGACACCTTTGACTGGAATAGCTGAGGCCTTATATTATTTCCTTCAGACTTATTCTCAATTACAGCAGTAGTCAATACTCATTTACAACAACCAGGAGCCTTGCGTGTAGGAAGCTTGAGAATTGCACTCTCTACAGAAAGATGAGTAAAAGGACACGATTCATCAATTGCAATTGGTGATGAAATCATCACTGTCTGGTCTGGAGGGCGGTGTACAGGAAGAAATTGACCTGAGAAAATCTGTTGAAGATGATCAGCCATTTTGTTAGCAGCTACTTGAGGTCCACCCGGATCCACAAAGACAGGACTGGTTTGACGATGGCTTTTAATACGTTTCATTGTTGCTGTGGTCTTTGCAAAGTCTTGTGTTGCCAATTTGTTGCAGAATTCTTTCCATGTTTCACGTTGACAACGCTGGACTGATAACCTAACAGCATGACATGCATCCTGATGGCGCATCCAGCATATAGCCTTCTGCAAACCACTAGAATGACGCCAGCGTTGGTAGCTGCATTCTCTCAGATCCATTGCTTCTTGAAGGTCCACTGACCAGAACCAGTACTTTTGCATGGTACGTGGTGTACGACGACCAACAGCAGTGTCCAAAGCATCATAGATAGCTTGAGCAAAAGCAGAGCACAGAGAATCTACAGGAGGAGGAGAAGAAGAAGAAAGGAAAGCACTGAACTGCTCTGTCAGATTGTCCAATGACGCAGAAGCTGTATCAATGTAGATCTTGAGAGTGTCAGGCTGAGCAAGCTTGGAAAGATTCCAAAGTAGGCGCGGATGATTAGTAGGGGGAGGGGGAGGTGAAACATAGGGAGTGAAAGTGAGGTTGACCATTTTGTGATCAGAGCCTAAAGAAAGATCAGAACGAATTTGCATAGAAGGATTGAGAAGGGGGGACATAGAAAGAAATAAATCAATGACACTGGAACGTGAGGTACCAGAGCCACCAGAAAGAAAGGTAGGAATACCAAATGCAAGTAATTCATTCCAACAAGTGAGACCAGTTGCCTGGATCCACTGAAGAAAAGAAGTTCCTCGCGAAGTGATAGCATGGTCACCAAGAAAGGATCCCATACGTGAATTAAAATCACCACAAAAAATAGTGTTAGAAGAAGGAATAGAAGAAGAAGAGAGGGGGAGGTTATAAAGAATAGAAATTGCATCGTCATTAGAAAGAGAAGGGGGAAGATAAATGCAATGAATAAGAAAATCAAATACAATACAAGAAAGAACATAAGGAGAAGAAGAAGGAACAATAGAAATGGGGTAAGGGAAAGAAGGATTTACAAGAAGAGAAATACCCATGCAGCCACGGCTAGCATTGGGGACAGACTGACCATAGGTATGGTACTGCTGCCAAGAAGTAGGATAACAATGGGGGGACAAAAGCCACGTTTCAGTGATAAAAAGAAGGGAAGTAAGTGGAGCATATGAAAGGATCGTAGGTATGGTCTGTTTTGCAAGACCATTTGCATTCCATAATGTAATTGTTACTGGATTCATAGATCAGAGAATGAAGGGATGGTGATGCTGGCAGTATGTATAGAGATGTCCAAGTCTTTTTTGGTGGGTCGTGGGGAACAATCTCAGCTAGTTGGTCATCACTAATCCATCCCTGAGAGCAAAAGGAACGTGCAACAGCAAACTTGACAGGAGCCCTAATGAATTCAATGGCACGTAGCATACGATCATTGTGAACATGTATAGCTTTTGTTGCCCTATCATCAAGTGAAAGAGAGGTCAGAGCTGGGTCACGGAGGTGAACAGGGTCCAGAGGATCAAAGTTATCCAAAGTAGTAACACCATAACTTGCCAGGATAGTCTTGAGCTCAGGAGCATACTCATTATGTACAAGCATTCCCATCACCTTACGATCAGGATAGTGGAGATCCAGCACACGTGCATTGTCTATCTTTAATTTCCTAAGACGTTGACGTTGAGTACTAATGGGGAGACGGATAGCATTAGGTACATAAACAATTTGAAACCCCTGATCAGCATTTTCTTTAATTGTCATGCCACGAACAACAGCAGCAATGGCCCTAGCAGTTGGAGCCCTTTTACGTGGTGTTTTAGAAACGAAAGTCTTGGTGGATTCAGTGGAATGATGGGTTGGGAATGCAGGAAGTGATGGAAAATCAGCCTGAGAAACAACTGGAACAGAGGCAGCAATAGTAGCATATTTGGATGCTGCAGCACCAACAGAAAAATCAACACTCTCCTTTGTCAAACGTGCAATAGTGGCTTTTGCAGTAGCAAGAGCCTTACACAACTCAATATTTTCTTTTTGAACAGCCTTCAATGCAGAAAGACGTTCATCATAAGCCTGGAAACGGTCCCAAATATCCTGAAGAGTGGGCATTACAGTTGGAAGAACAGGTGCAATGTCAGATTCAATTTCATAGATATCTGCCATAGAAATACTATGACCCAAGATGGAAACAGAAGGGGACACAACAGGCTCACTTGCAGAACGAACTTCAGGAATTTTGTGTTGGACTGCATTGATCAAAGATTGCATGGATGAAGCAGTAAATGTTGCACCACATTTGCATTTAAACTGTGGGCTACCAGTACGAGAAGTAGACCCATTAGAAACAATTTTGCCTGTAGTCTGGCAATGTGAACAGGACAAAACATTGTGCAATTTTTTAAAGTCTGCCTTGAGGCCAGACAAAATGAGAGCAGTGGGAGTAGGGCGGCCAGTGGAATTAATCACCTGTTTTTGGGAACCAATCATTGTTGGAGGAGCTTGAAAAAAAATTTCGTGGGAACCAGGAGCAGACAAAGCAGAAAAAGAAAGGTCTGAAACTGGGACAAAAAAGTGCGAAGTTGATGGTAAAACACCAGAACCACCTTCAGAGAAGAAGAAAAGAGCTGGAGACGATAACAGAGGTACAGGCAATCGAGATGTAGTTGGAGATGCTGACAATCTTGAGTGATTTCAGTGCAGATGTGAAGATGATTGCAATGATGATTCCAACAATTTGAAAAAAAGTTAATTAAAAAAAATAAAAATTGGTAGATATATAAAAACAACTATGGTTTCTTGGTGTAGTTGGTTATCACGTCTGTCTAACACACAGACGGTCGCCAGTTCAAGTCTGGCAGAAATCATTTTTAATTTTGGCGTGTATTTTTGACAGTCACATGTGACGGATTCGGTCAGGTGTTGACCATTGTCGTTCCAGATCTGGGTTAGTCTTTTACTATAACAAAGTCAAAAGGTCAACTGCACTTGGAACCAAATAGTACATATAAAATCAAAAAGAGAATAAAAGATAATTTTTATTAATAGAATTGTATTGTCTTACACAGTTTTCTAAACTAATATTGTGCCTTATCTGCAGTAGTTATTATATTATATTTAAATTAAAGAAGAGTCATTATACTGCGGTTTGTGGTATATGCACCACAATTGAGTGAAGAACAAACTCCACGACCAAATACTGATTCCTTCTTGCTAATGAACCTGGAAAGTTAACAATCTCTGGAACTGTTACACATCAGGCACGCGTACACTACACACACATACAGTATAAACCAACCATTACACAACAGGGATTTTAATAGTAACAGACATAAACAATATTATTTTGTCTCTTTAATAAATGCCACTCTCACAGTATCTACTTTTCCCATTATTGAGATACTAAACCATGAATCGATCCCAAATACCTCATTACTAATCTTTCAACAACAAAAAAACACTTACTAACTTAGCTAATATGAATAAATAGGAATACAGTGGTTTATATACTCTTATACTGATATAAATCTTTGTAGTATTTATATAAATTTAAAAGTGAAAATATAAAAGTCAATTATTTCTCATGACACTTAAGAAGTATATATTTTAAAGAAATTAAAGTATATAAGTGTATACCCAGGTAAAGTTAGTACTATAGGAGGAACAAAAGAAAAATAAAGAAATTCAAAAGGGTTTGAAGATTTTGGGCAAGGTATTTTATTTCAAAAGAAAAAAAAGAATTCAATTCGATTATTTTCCTAAATTCCATTTCAGTATACGTTTAAGTAATTACAAGTGCGATGGGTTATTCTCCAGAATTATTGTTTCTTCTAAGAAGATCTATTAATGTGATGATTTTCTGGTCAGATTATCCAGAGAGATTTGATAAAGAAGAGTATTTATACGATTTATAATATTTTAGTTTTCCTACCCTCTACTGGGGTAGTATTTCCGGACTCTGATTAAATATACATGTAGTTTCTCAATTAAATATAATTATGCTATACATGTAATATATGTAATTGGGCATCCCGTTTCACGGTGATAATGACTGGTGTAGACAGACTAAAAAGTTCAAAAAAATGCAAGCCGTATTATTGGATTTTTTTTTAAAAAAAAAGTGTAGAAATTTTGAACTTTCAAAACAAAACTCAAACGGTCCTGACTGGCTTGTCTTCTTTTATTGTCAATCTGATCAGGAAGAAGATTATTCTTTTAATGAAAGAAATGTGCCGCAGTACGAAAGGCCTGAATAAAACGGTAATAATATAATTTTACCTAATGGGAGAGATGGTATTATGAGTATTTAACTTTACCTAATATGGAGCCGAACTAATTTCAAACTTTTCTTGTGAACAAATGTGAGCAACCATAAATTAACCAGATTGGATAAGCTCGTTATGAACTTTTCTTGAACTTTTTTAGTCAGTTTACCAATTAAGACTAAGAGTAAAATATAGATGCATTATACAGTATTTTCTATTGATTCCCTCCCCTTTACATAATTCACAGCTCATAAATACTGTAAAATGATCATACACAAAAAATACACAAACAAAACTAATACATGATACCACCATGAGAAATTAAGGGTCTATTTAAAGGATTATTATTTTCTATAACATATAAATTATATTTGCTTTCTATTAATATGGTATTTAAAAGAAGACTTTCTTTACAATGCTTTTATTCTCAAATATTCTAAATAAAGTATATAACGTTTTATATAATATCTCACTTTCTTTTTTTTCATTCATCTTCAAAGAAATATATATATATAGCTGGTGGTGAGCGAAACAAAGCTATAGTCTTCGATTTAATCTGGATACTCGTATTCTCGCCCGTTCCATACAATTTATATGCTATTAATGTACATATATACCTCAAAATCTTTACCGAGACTTATAGTAATATAATGCTTATATAATATTGCTACAAAAGTAAAATATATTAATATTAATAAAAACCAATCACATAAATTGTTAATTTGATGTATGAGATAAATATGTATTACTTATACCGAAAATATGACCATTACTCTACAATATATATTGTATAGCTTCATAGAAAAGAGGGAGGAGAAGATAGATAAATAAATTGCAAAAAAAAAGGTCGGTTGCAATAAAAATTAATTATATAGAGCTAGGAACGACTGTATTAAAGCATAATAGTAAATGATGGATATATGCCAGTATGTCAGTGTGTTTATATCTCTATTTACACACAAAATATTAATACCTAATTTATCATGTTAGGAATAGGAATATATATATAGATATAATATCAGAAAACATTATAGATTTATTTCTCTATGAATATTATCATATTATAGCCTTTATATAATGTCTTACAAGTATTCTATAAACGAAAACTCAGGCAATAACATCATATTAGGATTTGCATCTACTAGAGCTTATTTGCCGCTCTTGATTCGTTATATTAAATAAGTATAGAGGTTAAGATTAAGATTAAGATTAAAATAGTATATTGAGATGATATATCGAATGAAAAGTTTGATAATTTTAAGTAGCTAAATATCCAATATTCTAAATAAACATCTATCTAAGAGATCTACTGAACCACGCGGATTTTTGACACTATGCATATTATCAAGCACTAATGGTACAATACCAAAGATTAATATCCAGGGAGTGGCTATCGTGTTTTACAGTCTTTGAAATTAAGTATAACATAATAGATTGCTACAATATTTTTAGTAACTGCTTACCATAATTAGCTTTTCAGGGTATATAAAGTATTATATAGCATCAAGCTCTCAATTAATTGAATGTAAATATAAATAAATATAAGTAAAGCCATATTGAATACTATTAACCAAGAAAGACAATCAATAATAATAATAATATGCATATGTAATATCTGAACGCATTAATTCTTGGATATTAAGTAGATTCATAAGCCAAGTTCAAATATTCCCAATAAAATAAATCAATAGAAGAAAATCAGAGACATTAAAATTATAAATATATCAACATGATCATTTCCATACAAATAAGTATAAAGTGCTGAGAAGATATTATCAAAAAAAAAATCAAATAATAAATATTTTGATTTGTGCAAGATACTTGACCTTTATTTTAGACCGGTTATATCACAATTGAACTGTCTATTACGCAAAGATATTTGACCAAAAGGCTTTATTGTTTAATGAAATTTAACGCTTCAGCCACATAATGTACTATTAAAAATCATTAAAGTGCAGACGAAGAAAAAGCTTTATAAGGAGAATTATGTATTATACGTTTATAAGAGATAGTAGCTCATATTAGAGATGTATGAGATAAAAGTTAAGAAGACATTATAGTCTTATGAGAGCCAATATAACCTGTTTAGATATATACATATATATAAATGGTCTTTATTATTATATTCGCTAAAACGTTATACTAATTTTTTTACTCGGTATTTTTTTTCTCAACTTCTACAAGAGATTGGTATAAGACAATTGAATATTTTAGACCCCCCACAAAATGATATTCTAATCATTGATATTTTTCAAATGAGATAAAGACTTTAAAGATTATGAGGAGGTCAAATAATACAAAACATTTTGTAAATACATATTTTTTAAAATAAAATAACTTATAATTTGGTTCCATGATTCATGCCGAGTTTAAACGATGTACTTTATTGAGTGTAGCATTTTGATATGACCTTCATCTTTGATCGATTGTGTAGCTCGGGAAATATCATTATCTACAAAATTTCTGTGGTCTGAAACTAAAAAGAAGAAGAAGAAGAAGAAGAAGAAGAATAAAAGAAATTTGTTTCTAAAGGGAGAGCGGGTAATCTGGGATATCTTCTGAATATGAACAAATGTCTCACTGAAACCTTGATATAAGCCTCGAATGAGTAAATCCAGTGTCATCATATTTATTACATGGGATTAGTATATATATGTAAGTTTTGTTTGTTTGTTGGAAAATATCCACCTTCCGCGCTCTTTTCACTTACTTTATCTCTCGATCCAACTTACCTACAAACATGATAATATCTAGAATAGCCAAATGTTTTGTATTTTGGACCTTTGCAACAGTTGTCCTCGGTGGAAGAGCAAGCTTGACAGACCCAATAGTGTGCGACTGCGGATTCGAGGATGAAAATACCTTTGTATGGGCTAATGTATGGTATGCTGATTTTGCAACATACAAAGTGCCTTTGCAAGACGACAATAATTATATTGTCATGGATTATACCGTTCCTCCCCAAGACAACGAGTCTTTCAGCCGTGAATTTAAGCCAAATAATGTGCAGCTGGTAGATGGAGTTACCCAGTTATCTGTCGTCACCGAGAATGGAAAAGCTTCATCCGCGTCTTTTGCAACAAAGAGGTAAGTACATATGACAAGAGAAAGCAAAGATCAATAAAAAAATATTAATGCAAAAGGCCAATAGAGAGGATTTCTTGTACGGTAGTTTCCGCGCAAGCTTAAAGACAACAGACGTTTCTGGTACAGTTGCCGCCTTTTTCTTTTATCGTAACGACACATGCGAGATCGATATGGAATCTCTTAGTCATATCAAAAATCCATGGAATACATACTTTGCGGTCCAGCCTCAAATATACAACGATGATGGAACTGCCTCAAACCTTACTCACGAAAAGAGTGTCCTTGATTTTGACCCAACTACAGTAAGTATGATGTTGAATATATGCAAGTTATAACCAATTGCTCATATTTCTATTGGAAATTAGGACTTTCATGAGTACAGATTTGATTGGACTCCCAGTAATGTGAAATTTTATATCGACGGGGTTAAGCTCTATACTATGACAACAAACATACCAGATGCTCCTGGCCGTGTTATACTTAATCACTGGTCAGATGGAAATCCAAACTTTAGTGAAGGACCACCCGCCCAGAAGGCTATCCTGGAAGTGGCAAATATGACAGTGTTTTTTAACACATCCGATACAAAAGAGTCATTATCCTGCAAAAATGCGAAAACAGCTTGCAGTATTCGAGGTAATACACTTTTGAATTTTTTTCTTACTATTAAAATTACTCACACAATATATATACAGATATTATGAGCCAAAAGATAGTCCCCGGATACATGTTACCAGCCAACTTTGTGTCTCTTGGAGGCCACACGAGCTCACCAAATAATTCTCTTTACCTTCAAGCTAGTTTAGCAAGTCTAGCACTTCTTATCCTTTCAACCAAACATATATTTGCTGCTCTTTTTTAATAATAATAGTAGTAGTATATATATAAATATAAATAAATAATAAAAACACTATTTTACACCACAAAATATCTGTAGGGTTTTAAATTATTATTTTCATGCCGAAATACAAATTGAAAGAGAGTCATTTTTTTTAGAACTTTACATAAGCAAGGGTTTAAAGTGACAAATTCAACTATATAATTACAGAAATAGTAGCAAAAATAACATAACTATCAACATAAGCACAATCATTATCAATAACAGCAGTAGAGCCAACAAAAACAATAATATGTCATTAAATGGTTTTTAATATAGTGTGCTTATAAATTAAGTGGTGGTTTTGTAAATAATATGATTATGAGTGTTCAGTAATATAAACACCTAACAAAAGGTTACATGGTAGTTTTCGACAGTGCATTGAAAGGTTGATGTCTGATCATCATAAGCAAAGCTGTATGCATCCGGGCAGGCACTTTTTACCTCTTCGGACCAACTGTCGGGCTTGCATACGTTCGGGTCATCGTGGTCTCCAGTGCAGCAGGTTTCGGCCGTGTTCGACTTTGAGCATGAACTTTGACATGATATCAACTGCCCAGATGGACCTTTAATCGCATTTTCATCTGGGCACGCCGGTACATCACTACAAGTTGGGGATCCACAGGTGTAGCCTTCTGCTCCCTCTGTATCCTGAGGTTGAATGCTCATAGGTAAGTTGTATCCATCGACGAAGCTGATGTCATAGAAGTCTTTTCCGAAAGCACCTTTGAAAAAGAACTCTGCAAGTGTTGCTGGATTTGAAGCACCGGGAGTACCGCAGTCTGCTGAATTTTGCTTGGATCCTGAGCATTGTTGACGACCCCAAATACGACCTCCCCAAGTATCTTGCTCCGTAATAACTCGTTCGGCCTTAGGTGTCAAGTCAAAAGTCATGTCTGGGGAACTTGCCGTTCTGCCGTTAGTTAATACACCAACAGTCACCACACTATCGCAGCTGTTTATAATGGTTATATGCTTATCTCCAGCATTTACAACTGTTAAAATCCCGAGAAAGATAAGCTCGATGCTGAGAAAACGCATTTCGAATGTTGATTAAAGATACAGAATAATCCACAAGTAGTCAAGAGAAAGATATATCACAGCTTTTGTGAAGAAGAGAACAAAACAAGTTTTATGCTTTTTAGCACGAGTACTTTGATTTATAGTTGTAGTGTGTACTGCTAGATAGTAGTTTATTGGTGCGCTATTACCAACAAAGCTTTTATTGTATTGATTAATGCAAAGGCAGCAATCTACTCAATCGAACTGTCAATTGGCCACTCTACCATCCTACCAGAAGATTAAAGGCAGTGTGTACGGTTGATTGGGTAATTTAGGGACTGTTTAGAAACATAGCAGTATATTTGAATAACGATGTGAGTATGATTTGGTCAGTTCAGCTTGTCGCCATGTAAAAAGAACGATGATACAATTGGGATACAGCTAACATGGGTCTACATCATAGTGACTGATACTTCTTCTATTCATGTATTTGATAAATCTAGTTTCTTTTGTATACACGCCAAGTTATACTAGTCCCAAAGTACCGTCATCTTATGGGACAGCTATCACACTTCACGCCAGCACTCATACTACGTTTTGGCGGAAATAGCTGATATATTTCTATATCTCGATTTCTTATTGTGCGGTATACCAAGACCCGATCCTTTGTCATAACCCAGAATCTCTGTTTTCTGTCGAGTATTTGACAAAGTATCTGTATTTTCATACACACACATATATATAATTAAAATAACATACTTAATATAAGATGGGGTTCTGTTGGTTTTCTTCTTTCAATACTCACAAAAATTAACATGTCAGCCTTGATTGTTGTAAAAAAAAAGTCTGTCCAATTGCGATATTCATATTGATAACATTCAAGCAGTCTCTAGTTCTCTCTTTCTTTCTTCAAAAGTAGCAGAAGTCAAGCCCTGACTCTGAGTTTGTGTTCATATTCATGTTTGTACAAGAGTAGCGCGTCATTTCGTCTTGTGTAAAAGCCATATTCATGTGTCCGTCTACCATTGGACCCAGGAAGAAAATCCCCCAACCTCCGTCTGCATAACAATTATCGGCCAATGGATCTTGGGATGGACAGGCTTGATCTAATGTGATGTTATATTCGTTCATGAAAGCAAACAATTCCTTCTCTAATTGGCTTTCTTTAAAGGCTTTGTAGGTAGGTGTCTTTTGATACATCTTTAGCATCCTCACAAGAAAGTATCGACTCTGTTGGACCAGCTCTTCGGACATCCATTCAGGATGTGAAATATTTAACTGCACAATAGTTAATACTTTCTTTTTCAATAACCAAATAAATACAAAATTAACCTACTTTAAGCGTTTGGATTGAAGCCATATAATGATATAAGTAAGGTCGAAAGAAACAATCAAATCCATCCGGGGACTCGATAGATGCAGAAAACCAACGGTCAAACAGAATTACACTAGCAATTGCGGCTTGCGAAGTTCGTAATACAGCTTCACGATGAATATCAAACAAGTCATTGGTATCTAACGGCAAGTATGGTCGATAAAGCGTAATCCAAGATTGGCAAAAATCCAATAATACACAGTAAAATGTTCGGCGGCTCCACTGGGTAGTTTTTAATCCGGTCATTTGATTTGCATAAGCATAACGATTTTGAGGGTCGAGTGTACGATAAAACTCCCTGAGGCGTTCTTCATCAGCCTTTAATGAATCAAGTTGAGCTTCTTCGGCAATTTCTGCTTTATTTTGCGATATGTACAGCTCAGATGAAAGTCGCCTGATACCAATTATACTAATAACAAAGCGAGCCTGTTCTGCTTCTGTAAAGCTAAAATCTAGTAGTACGGTTGGAGGTTCTACTGTGATACTTGATGGAGGTATAGAAGAGGGTTTTTTGTAAAGCTGTGGGACCATAGAATCAAGGAACCAGACGGTCCAAAATATACGTTTTGCTTGTTCTCTCTCAAAAGGTGTTTTGCAATTTACATATCCCTTCAAAGAATGCAGGTCTAAAGCAAAGCACATCCGGGCAGCAATACCTAGATGTAAGTACGCCCTCTCAACTCGTCCCAAATCGAGATCATAGGTTATTAACAAGGTTCTCTGGTGTATGTTTGTCAGTGTTGCATCGTCATATTGTAAGGATTCACGAGAGTATTTGTAAAATATCTCTCCGAGTTGTTGAGAATTGTTTAAGCATAAGATATGAGGATGGTAATTGAAAATATGAGGCACGGCATGGGAAAGAACAGATGATATAACAAGTGAATTTATACGACCTTGGCTGTGGTATGCTTCAAAACGTGTGGGACTGACAAGGATAGGAAAGCCACATTGGTGGTTTTGGTGGATAAGACTTTCTGTAACATTCTTTGACATAATCTCGGCTGGGTTTATATTTTTATCAATTGTTTGTTCATTTTCTGGACGATCTAAACGCCCGAGACGTTCGAATAAAGAAAATGATAAAAGGTTATTAATTCGTATGCGTGCTTCGCTAGTTGGTGATTCTGAGCGGACCATGTACGAAAGAGGAGATGGGTTATAATAAGCATGGCTCATCCGAACTGCTTGCCTCATGGCCTCTTTTAACTCTTCCAAAATATGAAAGTTTGTCTGAATAGATTGGGTGCCATCTTTTCTGGTCACAACTGGCCAGCCAACGTTTGCAGCCCAGCTGGAAACCGTCAATTCGTTCTCTGATATTTTGGCAGGGTAGTTACTGGAAGCGTCCCCTTCTTGTCCTACATGCCCTTGTTGGACTTGTGGTTGTATTTGGACCAATAAACGGGATATTGTATTGTGGTATTTCTGCTCGATAAATCCGAGGGAGCCAGACATAGTTTGAACTGTGGCCTGAATATCGTCTAACCTTTGTCGCATAGAGATACTTTCTGATCTTGGCCCATCATTACTGTAGATGCATTCCCACGTTTTTCTACATTGGCCGCAGTAAGGCTTGTTCCGATCGCATCCAACTCGCCTCTCACGGCACCTGTGGTTCAGTAACAAGATCAGTCGAATGCTTTGTTGGTGTTGATGTTCCCTTGTCTGAATATTTATGTATGTACGCAAAAATACGTTACTTGTTGCAGGCGTATCCGCTTTGTTGCCGTCTTTTCTTTGGTGGAGATTCTTTTAAGTTGTCTTCCGAGTGATGTGGTGGCATTGAAGAGCATTCTGATAAGAGTTCTTTAGGCTCTGAAACTGTTGATTCAGGCGAAGACGGATACGTGTAGTAGACAAATGAATGGGCTGGGGTCATCTTTATTGCATAACTGATTAAAAAAAGTGTAGAAATAATAATACAATGTGAAAACTGAGTTGACCATTTGATATATTTGTACCAGGTGAAAGACGGTGACGACACATGGTGTACCTTTTTATTAGAAAACCAGAACAGGTTTTATTTAATGTTTGCACAGTGCGACCGCTTGATTTTGTCGGTTTGAGAAAAATAAATGCCGTTTTAACCAAAAAGAATTACGAAAATCAAAAATGTATTTTTCGCTTTCAAAAATATTAAATCACCGGGTTTAAAGATCATATTTTTGTTAATACTTTATATAAGGATGTCATTTTATTATCAGTATTAAATATATCTTTATATTTGAGCAAGAAATATGCTTAGAATGGTATTTTGTTATACAGTATATGTAAAAGAATCACAGTCGCTTCAAATTATGCCTTCATAGCCTCTCCTTGTCTAAACACACCACAATGCTTAACAGAATGAGAAACAAGACCTTTGGTCATTCAAATGTAAGGCATCACATACCTCCCGAATTCTAGTTGTTGGCTATAATTTTTCTAGAAACTCTTTTCGTTTAACCTTGCGCTTGGTAACTGACAAGAACTACTCAATTGGATTCAGTACAGGATACTATAGAGGAAATTAAACATATTTATAGTCTCGTAAGTCAATATATCTTTCTACATTAGTTAAGCTATAAATAGGAGAACAACTCATGACAAGGTAATCTCTTTTCACTTCTGCTTACTATTTCAATTTTATCAATGTCAGCCTTTAAAAAACTCAAATAATATTTTGTCACTGTTCCTGTCATATGTTTTTTTGACATGTCTCGGAACGCTTAAACTAACACAGATTAAACTAGTCGCAGATAATGCACCTAAAACCAATTTATTCGATAAAAACTATAGGTTTTTTTGGTTGATTTATCAAAGAATAACACAATTTTCTTTACTTTTTGTCACAAAATATTTGCAAATTGCTCATTTGATTGACTGAATAGGTTGTGACTCACAGAAAAGTATTTGAGATTGACGTTATCTCTTAACCCAGTATATCTTGAGTATAACCGGAATCTATCCAAGTTAGTAACACGTTATTATTCCTCCGTTTCAAAATTCAAATAGTCATAAATTGCATGAAATAGCAGACCCAACAAATCCAAAAAAAGAGATACTCTAAGTAGCAATCAAATATACCATTTCTCGATAAATCCCTATTTACAGAGACTTTATAGTATAAAGAGAGGATCTTTGATTGCATATCATCACAAGCCATATAATATAATTTATATCTAGTGATTTTAATATTGAAATGTTGTGTGATATCCTTTATGTTGATTAGTCTATGTTAATTGTCCTTTTCAAGACATGTTTTCCGTAATGGTTATGTAGCATCTGTTTGTCTCCTGAGATTAAATAGGAATTTATGGCGTATCACAAACACGGGGATGAAGTGATTGACAAGCTTTTCTTTTTCAAAGCTAAACTTCCCTTTGTAGATGATTTATTGGACCGACGCGCGTACTTCATCAGTACCACCATTGCTGCTGGTGTTATACCTTCTACTCGTTTGGCAGCTCCCTTTATCATTCAATATTTAGATAAACAAATAAGAATAACTTGATAAGCTTACCAGCGTTTCTGGCCGTACAATAGCCAATTTTTGTCGAACTTCATGCGAGAGTTGATCCATTCTATCAAACGAAAACGTTAAGGTATCTTGGTTAAAGCTACACAATAATAATAATAATAATAATAATAATAATGCTAATTACCGTGAATATTCTAAGTTTATATCAAGTTTAAGATCTTCATCTCTTTTTAATGCGGCTATCTCTGTAGCCTGGCGCTTTAAGAACGGTTTGTAGCGACATGCAATCAAAAGACGTTCTTTTAATCCACTATCTAGCTCCTTGAGGGAAGGTAATAAATCGTAAAATTGTTCAATCTCAACGTTGGGCCAACACAGGATATCAACACCACTAAATGAATATCCGTATAAACGTATTAAAAAATGGCACAAAGCATTTGTACACTTATAACATACCTTCGGAGTACACCGCTGTCATTCGATCCCTCATTTCCATGACTGATACCATTCTGTTTCCATTTGTTAGCTGGCATAAGTAGCTCTTCAAGAGCTTGAGTAGCAGAACTCAGCATAGTTGATTTTGAATAGAAATCTGTCCACCTCTCCTCCCCAACAGCACCAGCATCATATCCTTTAATAAAAAGATAAGAATTGGAACAGAGCGCACATTAATTTCAGCTTAAATTACCTTTGCTTGTCAATCTCAAATCCGCATTATCTGCACGTAAGTGCAAGCGATACTCTGAGCGGGAAGTAAATACTCGGTAGGGTTCTTCCACACCCTTTGTAGTCAAATCATCGATAAGAACACCAATATATGCGTCAGAACGATCCAAAATAAATGGAGCGCGACCAAGAGCATGTAAGCCGGCATTAATCCCTGCCATCACACCTTGTGCTGCCGCTTCTTCGTATCCTGTTGTTCCATTGATCTGGCCTGCCATAAAAAGTCCGCTAATTCGTTTTGTCTCTAGTGTAGAGCGCAGTTCACGGGGATCAACATGGTCATATTCAACACCATAGGCTATTGCTCTGATGTCAGTAAGGAAAATAAATAAATAAAGGCATAGCACACGATATTACCTGGTCTAACCATATCTACATTCTCCAATCCACGAATCATACGCAAAAAATTAAGCTGAACATCCTCCGGCATGGTGTTTGATATACCATTAGGGTATACAAGATGCGAATCAAATCCTTGTATAAACTAGTGTTTGTATGAAACCTTCTTTTAAATAATCACACATAACATTTACCTTCGGGCTCCAACCAGATAGCATGCCCAGTTTTATCACCAAATCGCTTGATCTTACTTTCCAGAGAAGGACAATATCTTGAAACCTGGTGCATTAGCTTTAATTTTCTACAAATATTGTTATATAATACCTTGGTCCTTTTACAGTTTCTCTAATATGGATACTCTGGTCAAAGTTTTCTGCAATGTACTTGTGAACAGAAGGGTTGGTTCTTGTCTGATGGCAAAGCACTTGTTGATCCTATAAATTTAAATCAATCATTTAATTTTGTTCCTGATTCAAAATGTTTAGTAATATTTACTGCGTGCGGTACTAAAGTGTGGAGGAACGAAAATGGGGACGGTGGGTTGTCGCCTTCTTGGACCGCCAATCCTTCATAATTGATTGTCCTTCCATCCAAACGTGCGGGAGTTCCTTGTATTTAAAGCAAAATTAGTTTGGTTATACTATGGTTACCATGCCTCCTCTTTTCTTTCTATTATTCAGTATGTAGTTACCTGTTTTGAGCCTAGCAAGTTGGAAGCCTGCTGAGCGTAGTGAGTTAGATAACCCAATAGATGGGTTTTCATCAATACGACCCGCTGGCCATGCTTTTAAGCCTAATGTTTTAGAGTGTTAAAGATATGTTCTTTTAAAAGTACTTTATGTAAAATCACCCAAATGGATTTCTCCACCCAAGAAGGTTCCTGTTGTAATAACGACATTGGATGTTTTTATTATGTGGCCATTATCTATGTAAAACACAGAATAAGATCAATATTTTATACCCACAGCTTAAGAGCAATTCATTTCCAAAATAAAAATAACATATATACCTAGACGAACACCCTTTACTGCAGATGCTGCACCCTTTTGTTCCAATACTTGATGTCTTTCAGAATCAATATCTGTCTCAAACACAAGATCTGCCACACTCCCCGTTTGGATCGTCAAGTTGGGATAGTCCTCAAGATACTCTTGTAGATGCTTCTTGTAGAGCTTGCGGTCTATTTGTGCTCTTGGTCCCTACATCTAATTCAGAACACAAAGCCAGAATGTCTTGTGTGCTTTAACTACTTACATATACTGCAGGACCCTTAGATTTATTCAATACCTTGAATTGGATACCGGCCAAATCTGATACATACACACACGCACATCATATATCAGATAATTATTTTTATATGAGGAAAAGTGTGTCTTACCGGCTATCCGACCACATACACCATCTAAAGCATCAACCTCTCGTACTAAAACACCTTTACCGACACCTCCAAAAGAAGGGTTACAAGACATTTCACCTACAAAATACGACAGCAGCCTCAGTAAAATATCTATCATAGTAATTATGTAATTATACACACCAATTGTGTCTTTGTTTTGAGTGATCAGCAATGTGCGTGCTCCTACTCTAGCAGCAGCTGTACATGCCTCGGTGCCTGCATGGCCACCACCGATCACTACTACATCGAAATCATTATCGATCGAAGAAGAAGTTGTCGAAAATGAGGATACTCGGAGAAGAGATCCAGAATTGGAGCGTAAGGATCTAAACTGTGAAGATTGACGACCAACAATCGACCGAATATGATACATGGTATGATCTTGGGGTTAAGCTTGTTCCTGTGAAAAGTCACACATATTCACTTTTTGTCGTCTTGTCGGAGATTATTTAAAAGTCGCTTTCCATTCTCTCTCTTTCTGTTTTAGGATTCTTAATCATGAGCCAAAATATACGACCTTATCAACCAAGCGACAATGAAGCCATCCGGAAACTATATATCGACAAAGAGAAGAAGCTTGAGAACAAGCGAATCTTCAGAGCAATGCTAGAGAGTTCACTGGTTCAATGGTCGTGGCCAATGGGGATTGTTGGAATTGCTGGCTACAACATGACAACAACAGGGTATGCAGCACGACAGCTTATGATGCTATTTTGCCTAGAGACAACAATCTGGAGTGCTGGACTAGGTCTTGCATGGTACTTTTATTTAAAGAAACGATACCGACGGGCAATAAGCAGACGTAGCAATAATGTACTTCGAAATCTGACGGCCACAGATGGACCCAAGAGCGGCTCATGGGTAATGGAAAGAAAGGATAGGATTATCGGTGCAGTTGGAATACAGTATGAAGATGATGAAGGGAAAATACAGAGCCTTACATCTGGAGACAAACAGGCTGAACTTGCGTTGGTTCAAAGTGCCATCAAGTTTGCAAAGAAGAAGGAAATTAAGGTGATCATTAAACGTGGAAATGATACAACGTGGTCCGATCGTTGGTTCTAATGTTGGTGTGTCGGATTTAATGTGGACGAGTTCTCTCGGATGGTTCACTGTCATTTGAATTTAAACCTCCAGTTTGTTTCTTCTTACTGCTTTCTTTCTTCTTTGTATTTCTTACTTTTTTAATTTTTTTTCAACTAAATGTCGCTTATATCCCTTAACAGTCGTCCTACCATACCGCTAATCATTGATCCGACTGATCATGAACACCCAATTAACCACCTGTTTTCACCAACGGCATTAGTTCCTGATCTTACCTATGTTGATAAGACATACTATGCGTCTCATTCTCCTTTTTCGTTCCCTTCTATATTTCTTCGTTGTCTATCTCGCAGTATGCAAGACATATCCACCAGATTTTCTGAAAAGAATTTTACTCCAACTATCAACACAATTATATTCAACAAGGCATTGTCTATGCTGAGATCCATATCTCATCTTGACTTGTAAGCTAAATGTATTAAACTAGGGATGCTACCGATATTCGGTTATTAACTTTATTTGTTAGAAACCATGCAAGGCTCTTTATTCTCCCTAGCCAGATTTCCCGATTGACGCGTTTGACGTTCCTCGACTTGTCTCACAATCAACTTGAAACACTCCCAGAATCGATTTGCTACCTCAAACATCTTCAGCACCTTAATTTAGCCAATAATCGCATTCCAGAGTTACCATCCGTTGTACAATTTTTCGTCAAACTGAACCACCTTGATCTATCTAATAATCCTCTGGAAGAACTGTCAGCAAATATCGCACGCCTTACACAGCTCACTATGCTCGATCTCACAGGGACAAATATTAGCAATGTACCCTCTGAGCTCCTTCGCCTCACCAGAGTCTCTGTCAGAGTCGACAACTGTCCCAACATTGCCGAAAGATCCGTTTCATTTTATCAAACTTTGAAATATGATCCGCCAAGCCTATTAGAGATATGTTCTCGGATAGTCATGCGCCCTCTATTACTGGACAGTGCGACCAAGAAGAAGATGGTTAGCCAAAGAACTCTAGACTCGACGTTTTCTTTGATTCCTCAAAATGTCAAAGACTTTTTGAGCAGTCCAAAGGCGTGTTCATTTTGTGAAGGACCTTATTTCAAAGCGTGTGTACTTCGGTATCGGATTGTTCAGAGGCACGATGATACATATTTACCTGTGGAATATCGGCTGTGCTCGGCACATTGGAGTGACGAAGACGACAGACTACTGACTATGTTTGCAGAGCAACCCATCACAATGATTCCTAGGCTAAGAAAACGCCGCGAGCTACGTTACACGGTCCCTAATTTTTAGGTTGAATAAGGTCGCATTGCATATGAATTCTAATCTTAATACTGTTACACTTCTTTTTGAGTGTTTTAAAGTTAACCATAAATGAATCAAATTAATGGCAACGGTGGAAACAGTCCGGGATAATAAAGGCCAAGGCAGCATTGAAATGTAACCGAGGAAGTGAATACAAAATGATTCGAAATAAGTCTTTGTGTTCTGTGTTTAGAACCACAAGTCAACAAATAAAATAAGGATAAAATAATAGTAATAAAAAATCCAAGAAAGATTATAATGTTCATAACACACCTTCCTACTATGAGAATTGAACTCACGACCTTCGCTTTACGAGAGCGACGCTCTGCCAGCTGAGCTAAACAGGCTATTTGCGCTCTTTCAAATCCAAAAATAGAGTTTGTCACGTGATATAATGGCCATATCTGGGCACTTTCATAAATCATTTTTTATTGAAAATTATAATTTATAAATTTATATTTATAATATCAGTAAAAGTCGAAGATATTTATTATACAGGTAGAAGATAAATGTGCAACATTGGATAACTTCAGTTAAAAGTAACTGAAGATATAGTAATAGGAACAGTTATTATTATTTATTAATTTTATACTCATTTTTGTTTCAAAAAAAAATACAATGAAATTTAAATTCTATAAAAATTGAATTCCAATTATATGATTTATTATATTTAATTAAGCTTTTGTCTAATAAACTCTTATTTTAAGCTATCCTTGGCTAACCAATAATATATTTGTTTTAACATAAGTAATCAACAGTATCCAAATATCTGGACCAGAGTACTAAAGAATATTAATAGTAAAAATGCTCTTTTATATTAAGGCTCTCAAAATAATATATATATAAGAACACCACTGAAATATTTTAGAGAAACAATGCCTTTGTAATGTATTATTTTTCAAGGTAATAATTCCTCTTACGATACACCAAAAGTATAGCTTAAAAATTATATAAGAAAAAAACGCAAGATTATTATTATTTAATTTTCAAAGAAAATTAAATACCCTATAGGATCTCTTTGGAAATTTTATTATTATTATTTTGTTTCCACCCACAATAATAAATAATTATTTAAATAAATAAATAAAATGATCTTAGTATTATAATAATTATTTTATGTGATTAAATAAATGAACGGCAATTTTGATAGTGAAAGTAATAACCATCTTATTACCTCAATATTTATTTTTGATAAAAAATTTGTCTTTTAACTGTAGCAAAACTCTTTATTTATATTACTTATATAATGAAAAGTATAGATAATCAAGAAAGAATGTCAAAATCAAAGAAGACTTGTTTAGAGCTGTTAAGAATGCTATATGACAATTAAGCCTATTTATACTCAAGTCAAGTCTCAAGTCTTATTTATCACCATTACAGATAAACAAGCCATACTTTCTCATATATATATTCGAATCACATTATTTATAAACGAACATATTATTGATATGTAATACAATGTTTTCACAAGGATGTAACAATAAAGGAAGATAGCAATATCTATGACGACCATTGATAACTTCATACTCTTCTAGAAAAAACTATTCTCGCGTAGGACATGACATCAGTCCCAGGGACAGTCATTTGTAAATCAGAATCCATATAAGGAAATGTATCGTCCAGTAATATACGTCATTCCGGGTAAAACGGACAGAACAAAAAGACTATGGACATGTTGCATATTTAAAGCTTTTCTCTTTTCACAATACTTCTCTCACTTTCTTTTTTATATATCATTATATACATATCCACAAACAATGTCTGACTCAAAACCAATGTTCCTTTCCGTTGATGATGAACGAAAGCTTACCTACGACTTGATGAGAAGCACCGACGATGCCTCTGAACCAGCTGTTGCCAAAGAAGTCAGACATCCTCACCTTCAAGAAATCAAAGAGACTCTCTATAGTCTTAAGGAAAGCGCAAAGAACACACTGGCTGGCCATGGTGATAGCACACAGGAGAAAGTTCCTCAAGATGGCAAAACAAACCCAATGGAGTAAAAAAAAAGACACATCTTCCTAATCCAAATCTATACTATACAATATTTCTCATTTCATCCCATATCATTGCCTGTACATAAACTGACAATCAACTCTATATTGTGTCAAAAATAAATGAACAACAATCTAAATAAAACAAGATCTATATTGAGAGCTAACATGTGCCGAGAGCTAGATTATTTGGCACTGGGCTTATACCATAATCCATCAAACAAATAGCTGTCCATAAAGCTTCCTTTTCTGTCTAACATGTATCCCATACGTTCATTACTTGCGCGTAAGAAAAGGTTAGAAGAAGTGGTATTTCCCAAAGGATCGGTGCCTGTAGGGCCTACGTAAATAATTCTTTTGTTATCATTCAAGTTCAATGCAAGTGCGTATTATTATTTACCAGCGCCAGTAAAGACCTTCTGCTTGGAGAAAAGACGGTTGATTGGGTACTCCTTGCATTTTTGAGATTCAATAAAGCGAGCATGGGTCAACAGTCTTACACGTGCACCTCCCTTGAGCAAAATGATCTTGTCGATATATCTAACGTGCCATTGTAACCATTCATTAGCCCTGAATTTCTTAATGCATGATCTACATATCATCTATTATGCAATATACCTCCAAGGATAGGTAAACATTATCGAAGCAATTCCGATACCAAGAGCCATTAAACCACCAGCAATAGCCATACGCTGGCCCTGAGGAGCCAGTACAATGGGGGCGTCTTCTGCATCACTATAGCCATAATGTCAATATTATCTTAATTATGGATACCCTTATATACCTTTCTTTTTTACTGTATGTAACATATGCTAAGCTTGCAAGATTTCCCCTAAAAGAGCATTCCATTCACACACATATATACACGATTGAATATTTATTAGTTTATGGAGCATTGCTATGGGAGATAGCGCATTGAAATCCTTACCAGAATAAAAGTTGCACGCCTGCAGAGATATAAACATAAAAGAATGTACGACTCACACCTGGTGGGGCAGTGTAGAATACAACATCCCCTGTTTGGAGAGCATGTCTAATGTGTTTGCTAGAATATTGAAGGGCCTTGGTGTCAAATACTGATTTTGTGGCAGGTGTGGCATAAGCGCGAGAACCAAAAGTCATGAGGCCTGCATGGATTAACCGTGTTAAGTGGAAAATAGACTTTACATGTCATTTTTTTGTAATTGTAGACATTTTTACCATGCACATTAGATCGAAGGCCTGATGAGCGTGAGATGAACGAGCGTAATGGTAAGAGCATGATAAATGATAATTTTCGAATTGCTTATGCTTATGCCCATGTACTATATTTATTATTGGCAGGAAGAGAGGGGTCGTGCTAAGCCTCACATTTTACTGGCTTCTTAGAGGACCCACAAGAAAACTATTAAAAAGAAGTGGTCTATAAAACCAATGTTGTTTATTTACGATAGAATTGGCGTTTAAAGTGGAACCAAAGACTAAGGACTCCTCTATCGAAACTGCATTTAAATCCCTTCTTGTGCGAATATTCCCATTCACGGTTAACGATACGGAAGGCAATGTCCTGTAAAAAATGATAAATATGTTTGCTCTTTTGTTGTTTTAGTAATAGACCAAACGAATTATTTACTTCATAAGGAGGTCCAGCACGGAAACGGATCAAGACTGTCTCTGGAGAATCAGGGTCCTTTTCAATATAATAAGTCGGCGCCACAGACTTGTCGATAAGATCAGGATAGAATATATTGAATCTAAAAATGATGGTTAATTTCTCAATTGCTTTGATATATCTTAATAAGCTTACTTGTAACCCTGGACGACTATAAAACAAAACATTAAGTTTAATTAACATTTTTCTTTCGTAAAAACTTTATATGTAACAATATCCTTTTTATTGAATACATACCCTTTGGAGGCGGGTTGTCGTGATCATAATGTGTTTGGTTGTATTTGTTCCATTCGTAACCAGTATGGACTCTGTTAAAGTATCTTGGTTTGCGTGGACGATATTTGTCTTGCCACATGTATGTCTAGAATACCCATAACTGTCAACATCAATTGCCTTTTTTTTTTAAAAAAAATCCTTAGCATATGTTTACCTGTTTTGCTAATTCGGCTTCAATGTTGAAAATGGCCTCATCCTCATCAATACCCTTAGCAGCCTCTTGCTCAAAGAGAACGACCGATGCGACCGACTCATCCAGGGGCTTTTCAATCACAGGCTCGGGTTTAGCTTTTGTCTTCATCGGAATAATCTTACTTGACAAGACTCTTCGACGATCATCCATCTAGATTCATTTTTTTAAAGATGAGAAAACTAGTACAATACCTTAAAGCTTCACATTTTTCTTCGTAGTAATACTTACAAGTTTTCTAAGGTCTTTAATCGGATCAACAACCTCCAATTCTCTATCGTCTCTATCGAGTCTCGTCATGGGCTCAGGACTCATCGAGCGATCGTATTTCTCGATCAAAAGTCCACTTGGTTCCTGATCCTTATCATTACTTCCATTTTCAAATGCCTTATCTTGTGTTTCCATAAGATCCTGATCGACAGGCTCCACCTCCATACCCTCTCCTTCACCAACGCCTCGTCCCTGTACTTCAGCAGATTGCATAGAAAGCACACGTTCGAGTTCTTCCTGAACCTTGAGAGCTTCCTCCCTTTGTCTCATACGCAGCTGATTAAGACGTTTTGCCAATAATTCTTGATGCATATCATTGAGTTTAGCTTTGGATTTAAAGACAACAAGTTCTTTTAGCAGGTTTTCCCAGTATTCAACATCCACAGGTTCATTCGACTGAAGTTTGCGTAAAATCTGGTTCTGAAGGACAGTGAGCTGTGCAAATGTCTTCCCGGATAATACACGCTGAATATCTTGGTTCACACTTTCTGCCACTCCGCCCGATGCAATTGCAGCTTCATCAGATTTGAGTTTGGCAAGACAGTCGTCAGCTACAACAATAAGCGCACGCCAGAAATCCAGAGTCTTTTCATTTTTCTCGAGGTTAAGATGCATTTGTATATCACGATAGAGCTCTTCGGTCTCGCTAAGTGTCAAATTCTGTTTAAAATTGTTAGGTAAATCGGGAAGGGTGTAGGTTCACATACGTCAAAGATGGTGTATGGTTCTTCCAAATCGATCTCCAGCTCGACTTCTTCTTCGACTTTTTCGGGTTCGTTCGCCAAACGCAAATTCATGGCGAGAATATCAATAGGTTTAGCACGACCTTCTCTTATACGAATTTCTGCTCTTCTTTTCGCTTGCTCAAGATGGAACTAAAAATAAATTTTGAGCAATAGTGTATTTTTTATGCGTTTTACTCTTATATAGATATATTGCTTCATTATGGTTGAAACATACTTCTTCTTCTTTGGCCTGCCAGTCTCCCATCTGAGCGAGTTCTGCATCACGTTGCATCCGTGCAAGTTCTTCTTCACGTAGTTGCATCTCGATTTCACGTTCTGCTCTTCGTTTATTAAGCTTAGTTAATTCCTCTTCTGCTTCTCGTCGTCTGTCACGTTCTCGTCGTTTGATATCTCCTTGGCTTAAGCCAAGCTCTTTTCGATCTCTTTCCTTTTTCTTTGACCAAATAAACTTTGATTCCAAATTTACATCATTAAATGGGTTGTTGACATTAGAATAGCCAAGATTCTCTAAAGATGGTTGAGATGCATTGGGTATTTCTTCAGTATCTTCAATTTCTTCTTCGCTTTCATCCCGATGACGATCTCGTTTTGATTTCTTGTGTTTTTTATCTTTAGATTTCTTTGATCGCTCTTCGGGTGTTCGTGAGCGATGACGATGTCTAATTGGAATAGGGAAAGATTGTTGACTTTTCTCTTTCTTTTTTCGTTTGATTTTTTTCATTCAAGAACAAAATTATTAATAATTGTTCCATACTTTCTTTTACGGTCTCTGCCGTATTCATCTTTATGTCGATCGATGCTAGGGCTACGTGCACGACGTCTTTCTGGCGATCGCGTTCGGCTTCGATCGCGATGTCTTCTATCTGGTGAACGTGCCATGGAGCTGTCCTTAATTTTTGATTTTTATTTGTTAGAATAAAAATAAAAATAAAAATAAAAAATATGTGGGAGAAATCGACCGTTTTGCGAAAATGCATTTATTGAGCTGACGTACATGTCTTTATTGTTATTTTGAATCACCGGTCACTAATTCGGACTTCTCTTGTAAAGGGCCATTTTTGTGGGAGTGTATTTATTAGCACTGCTCGTCGCATACAATTCGGTCTTTTAAATATGATGAAATGAATGGAAAAGAAAATGTACCAAAAAAAACAGGAGCGATAAAATCATGCGCTTTTTTTTTTGTATATTAATCGCTGTCTTGGTTGCAGCAGTGTCAGAATAAAGGTATTATTGAAATATATTTATTTAATATGTCTGCCAAATGGTATAAGCCGTGAAAGATGCAAAACCACAGTATGAAGAAAGGGTAAAATGAAATAAAATAAAATAAAATCACGGCCCGCAAAATATAAAAAAAAATAAAAGTCAGCAATCTTCGATTAAAAAAAACCAATAACAACTCTCTTCCTTCTTTACCCTTTTCTCCTTTCCCACAAAATGTCATACCTCTCTCGAGACGAACTAGGTGAGAGCTCGATAAAATAGCTACAAAACAAAAATAAAGTGCTCAGCCGAAATTTTGACCAACATAAGTTTCATATTCCAGACAAATACTTGGACAACCTGCCACGTAACCGTCCAACCGATTCCTCGAGCCCGCTTTCAGCCAACGGACCCACCGAGCCACAGAGCCAAAGACCACCACATCATCTCAGAGGCCCCAGACCGCCAGTAAAACCAGCAGCATGGCGTTCAAGTACAGCACAGCCAGTTAAAGCTGACCCGAGAAGTGAGCTCGTTTATCCTATGCAGACCATGAGAATAGAACGAACAAGTGACCATACCACGGTACCATTAAACGGAATCACAGACCAAATAAACGCTCTTCGGACGGCTACTGGTGACATAACAGAAATAGCTTACCAAAGTGGCGAGCCTGAACCACTCGACCATCCACCGGTACCGGCACCGGCACCGGCACCTGTCACCCGTAAGCCCGTCAAGATGGATCCCTTTGAAGCAGCCCTTGGGCCTCGAAAAAAACCTACTCCAAAACACACTGTACCTGCTCCTACCCCCAAAGAACCTTCAACCAACTCACCTGTCCTACCCCCACTTCCCCCACCTCAGGTTCGAGTACCTTCTATCCGAGCACCTTCTGTTCGTGTCCCTCCTTCAATAAACTCGCCCGATAGTTCTGCTGGTACAACTGTAGATGCGAACAAACGAGTATCCGTACCAAATCCTATGTACACAGGTATTCGCTGTGCAGGCTGCGAAAAACCAATGGGTGGTATGACTATAAATGCAGCAGGGAAACAGTGGCATCCTGATTGTTTTGTGTGTAAGCACTGTAATCAGGACCTTGAACACGTCGCATTTTATGAAAAAGACGGGCAGCCTTATTGTGCATTGGACTATCACGAGTTATTTAGTACACGTTGCGATTATTGTGGAACACCTATCGAAGAAGTATGTTAAAATACATGTATATGCTTTACACTTTTTGTTATTTATATGATTTCTTGGTGATTTGCTGGGCACTATCTAACTTTAAATAGAAAGCAATCCGAGCGCTCGGAAAGACATACCATGAAGGTCATTTCTTCTGTCGCCAGTGTGGAAAAACATTTGACGAATCTAGTGCATTTATGGTATATGACGGGCATCCGTATTGTGAAAAGGATTATCTCGAGAAGTTTGGGCACAAGTGCATGGGATGCGGTGAATATATTACAGGGGAATTTATCGGTGCACTAGGCGGCGACTGGCACAAGGAATGCTTTGTGTGTGCAGTAAGTTGATTATAGATAGAAAGTGTTATATATATATCTTTGTAACTAATATATTACATTAAAGGAGTGCGGAAAGGCATTTACATCAGCCACTTTTTTTGTAAGAAACAATAGACCGTATTGTGATCAGCACCAAAGAACTACTGCTACACCTACCAAAAACGCACCACCTGTTGCTGTGCGTCCACAGCCTAATGTTCCTGTAGCACCATTTATTGCCAATGCAACATCAGAAAATAAAAAATGCCACAAATGTGGAGAGAAAGTCGAAGGAAGGTGTGCAAATGCATATGGCCATGACTACCATCCTGCACATTTCCAGTGCTCTCGGTGTGATAAACCTTTGTCAATGCGTGTTCCAGGCAAGATCACAAAAAAAAGATGTCAGAATAAAAGAGAAGCAATAATAATAATAAGCTTTCTATCTGTAGGCATGTGGCAGGAAGGTACCCCCGGAGAGCTTATTTGCAAGATGTGCGCACGAACCCACACTTGAGTCTGTGGTTGATTTTGACAAAGTTTAGCATGTACTTAATAGGACCGATTAGATTTCACAATTGAGTGGTATTCAGCAAAAATAAAAACCAAATGCTGTAGGGTTTCGTTATTTTTTCTTTGTTTACAAACTATTATGAATATAACGAAAACGGACTCTTTTCATCATGATAAAATCCAGATTTATTGATATGTATTTGAGATAAAGAAATCAATCTTCCTAATACACAGCTTATTATATTAGTTTTAATCAACAGTCGACGGAAGTATAGTTAAACAAGCAAAGAACTAAAAAAAATAAGAAGACTTATTGCTAAATAGAGTGCTTGGAATCGATCTTTTATTTAGTCAAACTGCATACAAAGAAAAAGACGATTATACATACAATATCTTTACATTGTAATTTATGCATATTTATTAATTAGCAATGTTCCATTTTTTATACACTAAGCTTTAGTTTTTATGTTATTAATATCAGTAATAATAATAATACTCTATAAAGATATGTGATGTAATTTATTTAGAGACAAGTATCACCAAGCATGGCTGGTAAAAAGTCAATATTAGCTATATAACTCTAATGGTTGAAACAACTTTCATGGTATCTCTTTCGATGTCTGTGAGCAAGTAATCAGGCTGCCACACAAGTGACCCAGGGGTATCAGAAGTATTAGCTTCTTGATTCCGTTTATCAGTAACTTTTCCCAATACTAGGATCTGATACTGTGGATTCCTTGAAATCTCTCTAGGGTGCATACGAAATGGTCTTTTAAAGAATGATGGTGTCTTATTCGAAGAAAAGGCACGGAACCAGTGACGCTGAGGATCGAGTAAAAGTAGGCTTCGCTTTTTTCGAGTGATCTCAATCCCAATGACTGTGACACTATGGCCAGAGTATTGGAGGTAAAGCGGAGGAGCTTCATTAGTAGAAAAGTATGATTGAATCCAGTCCAGCAGAAAACCATGCTGTTGATTAGGACCACTTGGTTGTGAAAAGTCTAAAATTGTGGTTCTAATGCCGAGGTAGGAGAATAGTGTGTGAACTTCAGTAGTCCCTATCCACTTAGTTGTCTTGTACACATCTTTCTCAAATAGTTTCGCTCCAACTGTATCGTAATCTGCAGCCTTGGTCAATATCATAGTATACTTTAACCTTGATGCTTGCCTTGATCCCATGCTTTTTCTAAACATATCTGCAGTTGGGCGATATCTCCTATGCGTTTCAATATGCGATTCTTTTGAAGGAAGCTCATAAGAATCTGACAGTTTCGGTAGCCACAATCCCATCCTACGTTGGCCAGACGAGATTTTATATAGTCTATTTGATGACTGCACATGTACACAGTGGTTGTTGGTGCCTTGTGAAGGTTAAAGTAATGATCTAACTGGTTCAGAACCCCTTTTTGAACAGTAATGCTGTGTTAGTTTTGTGATTTCAAAGGATCATCAAACCTTACCTACCATCCGCCTTCCACTTTCTAATTCTTCAATTGAATCCCACACATGTAGATCCTGCTCAATGCGATTTCTGGATTTAGTACATAAATCATCATCTGTTTGTACGGTAAATTATAGATTAGGCCACTAGCAACAATCTAATCAGTAACATACTAATTTGAGATGATTCAGCTGAGACCATGAGATTGTGTAAATCCTAGCTTTTTTCCCAGTTAAACTTATTTTATTTTGCAAAAAAGGGGAATATAAAATAAATGCATGCAGTCATCATATTAATTGTTACACTAAGCTCATTGAAGGAGACTATTGCTAATTCACCAGTCGCCTGGCCAATCTAATCAAATGTATTTCTTTATTCATTCCATAAGAATAAGGTAGTTCACTAATAAGCCGAGAAATGAATGATTTGCTTTTTTCTACTCAATATCTTTGAATCGTAATCAAGCAACCAGATGCTTGGTTTGGTTATACTGCAGCTAAAATAGCATTAGAAGTAAGAATGTATTAAAGCTATTTAAACTCAAGGTTTATCCGAATGTTTTTCAAAGAAAAATCTGGCTGACAAACTGAATTACATTTAATTAGTGGATTACTGGTTAATCTCAAGTTCCGAATGGCAACAACATATTTGACATTAATACGTATTATACTGTAACCAAATAGAAGCAACCCCTAAAGGCTTTTTTTGTTCGTTTTGTAGACCAGAAATGCAGCTTACAAATATTTTCGTATATAAATAAAAAAATTCTTATTCCATCTCCACATCAATAATGAAATAAGCTTTCTCTGGGGTAAATCGTACACTGTGATATGCGTGGTAGTTGTCCAAACGAGACATGTGAGATTGCGTATAGTTTGTGCACCCACACAGCACAAGGTGTAGTTAGATAGCTTATCAGGTCTCACAGTGATCTACCCCTTATTGTGTGAAAGTACTTACCGTTATATTGGTATTGGTGCTATTATTAAATCTGGTGCGCATTATATACCAAAATGTGCTCCATGAAGAAGCAGGAGCAGAAAGAAAGAAAAGTGCATTACAAATAAATGCTTAATAGGCGCATACGTACATTTTTTTATTGAGATATGAGAAAAGGAAATATAATTATTCAGGTGTGTTTTCTTTCTTTGTTGTTGTTGTTTATATGTATAGAAACAAAAAAGAATACAATGAAATTTAGAGCTTGGAAGAAGTATCTGGCTGTGAGTTGAGGACGTTATACATGTCGTTGATCTCCTTCTCAAAGAACTTCTTGGCCTGGGGACGCTTGACCTTGAATGTAGGGGTGAGGAGTTCGTTTTCTATAGAGAAGGGAACGGCTTGGAGATGAATGGCACGGACTTGCTCGAAACCTCTAAGCTGAGCTTCCTTGCCAACACGAGTAAGCTGCTTGAGGACAAGAGCGTTGACCTGGGGATGGTTGCAGAGTTCGGCAAAAGAAAGTTTCTTGGAGGCAACCTGGGGAAGTTTTGCGGAGAGGATGCTTGCAAGAGTTTCAGGGTCGGGGACAACGATGCCTACCAACTGACTCTGGAGAGAGTCACCGTGGACGTAAATCTGACCAACAACGGGTTCCTTGGCGTACACGTTCTCAATCTTTTCGGGGGCAATGTATTCACCCTGGGCCAACTTGAAGATGTTCTTCTTGCGGTCAATGATGACAAAGGCACCACGGTGGTTGATAGTAGCAATATCACCGGTGTGGAACCAGCCTTCACTGTCAATAGACTCGCGTGTCTTTTCTTCATCCTTGTAGTATCCCATAAATACACTGGGTCCACGTACACACAACTCACCACGGGGCTGGGGGTCAGTAGAGAGGTAGTCCATCTCAGGAACATCGAGAAGCTTGAGCTCATTGCAAGTGAAAGGTCCACCAATGTGACCGGCAAGGTATTCATTGGCATAATGAATACAGGTAGCAGCAGTAGTCTCTGTGGCACCATAACCTTCACGAATATCGCACACAAGCGCAATGCGGAGGAACTGCATAACATCCTTACCAATTGGAGCAGAGCCAGTGATCATCAAACGAACATTACCACCAAGAGCCATCTTGACCTTGTTGAACATAAGACGATCCCAGATGGCGTGAGTGTAGCCACCTCCGTTTTCCAAGTTTTCAAGTTTAGTAGCAACGGCTCTACGGGCGAGAGCACCCTTGGCACCGGGAGCCTGGGTAGTTCCCTGAACAATCTTGGCGTAGATACGGTTCAAGAGACGGGGGACGGTTGCCATAATACTAGGCTTGAGTTCCTGGATGTCCTCAACAAGGTTATCGATGGAACCCGAGAAGTAGCCAACACGACCACCAAGGGCGAGAATGGTCATGTCGCACACACGACCAAAGATGTGAGCAAGAGGGAGGTATGAAATGGCAATGTCTTCGGGGGATCCCTTCAGACTGATGACACTGGCAGACAAGGCAGCAACGAAGTTACGATGGGAGAGCATGGCACCCTTGGGCATACCGGTGGTACCGCTGGTATACATAATACAAGCCATATCTTCTGGCTTTGGAAGGTTGTGAGAGCGACGGTTCTTCTTACCAGCAGCCTCCAGGGCAGCAAAATCGATAAGCAAAACATTTTTCTCTTCAGCCCATGCCTTGATGATAGCACTCTTTGATACTACACCAGCACCAGCCTGGACATCATCTTCGATTGTATCCATTGAGATGATTGCCTTGAGGTTGGGCAGACGATGGCGTAACTTGAGAAGGTCGGCAACGTGATCAGCGGAACAAATGACAGTCTCAAGTTCTGAATGGTTAACCACGAACTCTACGGTCTCTGGGCCAAGGGTATCATAGAGTGCGACGACATGAAGACCATAGGCAGCGCATGCAAGATCTGAGATCATCCACTCGGGGCGGTTTACAGCCCAGATACCAATGGGAATCTGCTTTGTACGAGCGTCGTTCAAAGTGTGGTTCAAAAGGTTCATCAACCCAGAGCCGAAGTTGTCGATTCTGTGGGAGACCTCGCGATAGGTCTGCCATTCGTAAGCACCGCGCTTACCGGTCTTTGCATCTACGAGCTTACGAACGCCCAGACAGGGACGGTCGCGAGACAGCTTGAAGCCTAATATACGTGATAAGTTATGCTGATGCTTTACTAGATAATATTATTTTGTATTTACCGTAGTAGAAGATATCATAGATGGTCTTCACGTTTGGAGAGAAAGAATCCTCAACAACAGGTCGTTCTCCGTTTCTGTAGATAGCTGATGCAGGTTGTAAGGATCTAAGTTTGTTTGTTTTTTTGGCAGGTAAGACAGATGTAACTTACGAGACTGTCCAGGCTGCTTTGAGTTGGGGACCTCGTATGATTGTCTTTCCAAGCTGAATTTGGCCATTATGTTTTATGTTATACAGGTGTCCTGAAAGAGGAAGAGGAAGAAGGAGAAGAAGAAGGAAAAAGATGGGGAAAAATTGAATAGAAGTTTATAGGTATAAAAAGCAGGCCTGTTTGACCGGGAAAACCTCCGCCTCAAGTGTAATTCATTTGAGCTAAGTCAGCAGAATCACGCTGACTGAAATGCGGGGCTTGTCCTTCCCCACCGTGGATTTGTCACATGAAATTTCAACATTTGTTGGTTTTACATGTCTGTCAGATAGTTTCCAAGGAACAAGACACCATCAGCACGAATTACAACAAAACCATTGGTCGATCACAACTATATCAGTCTTTTCCAATAGTATTTCATTATATCAATACAAAATCAAAAGTATAGTCGGGATCATAAAGAAGAAGAAGAAGTCCATCTTAAAGAAGCGCATCTTTGTTTATTTTTTATTTTTTTATTATTATTTTTTGTATTAAGAAAATAATAAGAAAAATCCAAAAAAAGAAAGAAAGGAGAGAATAAGAGAGGTAGAGAGAAAGAGAAAGAAAGAAAGAGAGTCATCTCAGTCACATACACATGCACACACATACACATACATAAAAGAAGTTGTGTTTGTGTTTACTACAAATAGAGAAATAAAGTCAGCATTGGATTCCCTGAATTTACATCTTAAATTTCATTATTCTTTACCTGCTCCATAGCGTTCTTCTTGGAGGCGCTGTTCTTGCGGTCAAGGATGGCCTGACGGCTCTTGTCAACCTTGAGGTTGGTAACAACGACCTTGGAGGGGTGGATGCCAATGGGGACGGTGGCACCGTTAACCTTCTCGCGGGTGACACGGTCAATGTGGATAACCCACTTCTTGCGGTAGACCTGGACGACCTTACCCTCACGACCCTTGTAGGTACCACGGACAACCATAACCTCATCATCCTTGCGGACAGGGATGGAGCGAGCCTAAGTAAATTCATCCATCTATCAATCATTCCATTCCATTCGAGTTTTTATATAAATATCGATTCCCGCAAGTCCTTACGCTGTGCTTCTCTCTGAGCTCCTTGGACAAAGGTGCGCTCATGATCTTGCGGCGGATGCTAGAGGGAGCGGTGAAGTGGGCCTTGCGGCTCTTGCTACGGTCGGAGCTGACGTCTATTGAGAAGAGGATGGATGATTAACAATCAAAGTCATCCCTCTTTGATTCATTCTTTTATTGGTCTTGTCCATTCGTGTGTATGCGTTCGTTCGTTGTATATTGCGTTGAAGATTGACAATGAAAATTTTGGGATTTTTTTTTAAAAAAAAAGTTGTATGCATGTACGTGGGTGCGTGTGTTCTTATTTTTTGTTGGTCATCAATGGTATATGACATAATCAAGTCATGTATCGATTTTCGATTTGTGTAATATATTGTCCATCCAGACCGTCCAATTATGTATCTAGATACATCCACTTCTATCCCTTCTCTGGATTGGCTATTAATCTTACCAGCAGAGTACTTCATCCTTGTCTATGTGATGAAAGAGAGGGAGCGTTCATTGTCCTTTGGGCGCTTTTCCAAGTGCCACTGCTCGCAGAGAGTCACGTGCTCTTCCGGTCGGATGTTTAATAATGCCAGCAACACCACCAAAAGGCCAATTTTTTTTATGTTATATTTTTTTTTTAGAAAAAGGTTTCCATAAATTCAATGCTGTACTTTTATAAAGAAAGCAAAATAATGATTATTCTTAAGATATTTGAAACATACGCCATGTTATAGAGTTACTTGAGTATATATTGAATATTAACGACTGTATACATGTATATAGCAAAAATTACTTTTATCTATTTGTACAAGCATATATTTATGTATGTATTCAGGCCAAGCTGATTATAATTTGATCAAAAGTAATCTGTGGCAATTTTTTTTGGATAGGGTGAATCTAGTAAAGAGCTAGAACAAGTTTAACAGTGATAAAGAATACAAAGAAAATGCAGATAGAAAATTTTCGTTACCCAGAAAATACAATTACCGCGTGTGTAGCTGTAATAAAGTTATAGCCAAATGCGCTGGGTACAACATACATTTAGAATTAATGTTGATGCATATATGCAGATATATGTGGATACAAACATGACATCTATTTTTATATAGCATACATACAGTTATTTATACCCACAAACAAACCAACTGATTATCTACCGCTATTGTACTCAATATTCTGATGGAATTAAAAGAAACGCCCCCTCTCTTTCTATTTGTTACAAATTATTGATCAAGAAATATATCTTTTGATATTAAGCATGATATATATAATGATAAATTATTTTTTGTATTGATAAAGAAGTATTGTAAAGTCTTCCAAATGCTTTCAACAAGAACTCTACAAGATAATTTTTTTTTCAGTTTTAGAAAGCAAATGTTATTCTCATAAACCGTATATTTGCTGATGCCTTTTTTTTTGTACGAAAAATAAGGTCGTGTGAACCTTGATTAATATGTGTAAAAATGTTAATGTTTTTGTGAATATTGGGTATTGCTTTCATTGAGACAATATATCACAAATGTAACTATTAAGGTTGTTTTTGGCTCTCTTATTTATTTCTGTTTTGTTTTGAGTTACAGCCACACGATTCAGATACCATTTACCTTTATTGATCTACAAAGTCGTTTCATGATGTCTTTAAAGATAGTCTTATTAACAAAGAATTGGTGGTTTGTAGATTTGATAGACTCTTCTTCGTTCCTTGTAATTTAAGCTGCATTTGTTCTCAAACTAGCTAATGATAATAATAATAATAATAATAATAATAATAAACTATAGATTCATCATCTCACTCAAGATATCAGCCCATGGTTATTTTTAGTGCCAATGTTCTTTCGAAAGGATAACCCTCCATATACCAGTTGCATTTCATTTTCCTTTTTTAAAAAATTCCATATACAAAGCTGATCACTTTTAAATGCAAAGTACAGTAATCAACGGCTATTCTGAAGCTGTGTCAACCTTTTTTTTTTACTTAAAACTATGTACATAATATTCTTACATTTTATCACTGCTTTCTAAAGTACACACAAAAAATAATATAAACGGAGGATTTTTTTATGTGTATTTTGTTAATGCATTTACAGCCTACAGTTTATCTTGTTAGATATCCTCTGTGACAGCTGAGAAACTTTTGCACCCCTCAAGTGTTCTTGTGTTCTTCTTATTTAACAGACCATAGGAGTAAATCTATTTTATCTTGGTTAAATATAGTGACCATACAAATATTTGGATTTTATGATGTAAATACAAGTAGCAGCTGTACAAGGCTGTGTGTTGCATTTAAAGATTAACAAGAAATTAAGATGCTTGCTATTAAATGTTAATACGCAATGCATTTTCAACTTACAAACGTGCCTTTCCCCCTCTTCCTCCTCCTTTACATATAAATATACACGTTAACTGTTTAAAGATATTGATTTACAATTAAATTATACAAGATCTACTAATGATTCACACCTCTATCTCCCTGTTTATATTTTATATTTATTTGTTTGTATATCAATACCGATTGAATCAAACATCTTTTCCTGAGCTTTCCTTTTGAGGATTGGGAGGGGTTTTGTATACAACAACAAAAAAATTATTCCTTCTTTTGCTGCAGGATTATCTATTAAACAAGATTTCAATAATACAAATATATATATATATTTGATAAAATCCTGTTTGTTTAAACTTGTTTTGTGGCAATCATCTAGACAAAGATTCTATCAAACCAGAATATATATATAGATTTTTGTTATTGTTGTTAAAATATGACAACAAGTGATAAACAACTCCTTGGCATACAGTTAAATTCGCAACACTGTTGTCCAATTGAACACTAATTATACACACATACAAGTGATATTAATGTTTAAGGCCAAGGAAATAGACTTGGTAGTCTTGATACTATATTTTTGAAAGTATAAATGAATGGAAATTTTTACTGTAAATCAGCAAAAAAATAAAATAAATATAGAGATGAAAGTTTGTGTGTGTGTGAGATAGAGATAAAAAGAAGAAGAAAAAGTGATCAGAAAGTGAATGAATGGTTTGCTATGATACAACAAAGAAATAAAGATTATATAGAAAGCGATGAAATAATAAAGAAAATTACAGTCTTCTATATGCCTACAAGTCTTTTTTTTAATATAAAAGAAAAAACAAAGGAGTCTATCGTGCCTAGGCTGTGGAAGAAGAAGCCTTTTTTTTTACAACTGCTGATCCTGAAGCATCAAGCGGTTCAGCACAAACTCTTCTTCTTCAACCACGTGTTGGGTGAGGGAGGGAAGTTTACGGTCCAGAAGGGCTACTTCGTAAACTTGCATGTATTCCTCCATTGGACCTTGGGGGCGTTCCCAATCCAAGGCCATAGCACTATGGATCATGCGTAGACAGTACTCCTCGCGAAGTGCCTTACTTTCGGTGGTCTTTGCAAGGTCGTTGCTAAGATCGAAAATAGCTTTCTCAAGACTGGTCTTGGTTTTGTCATCGAATAGATAGGCATTGAAGTGTTCTAAGCTGGCTACAGTTGGAATCTTTGTTTCTTTGTTGCGCATGATGCGAATATCACGTTTGAATTCGTTTTCTTGGTTTTGTTCTTCTTTCCAGACAGGGCGATCAATCAGAATATCCCGCAGACTTCCAGAGCCGGTGGAAAGAACAGAAGCACCATATAACATGCCTTCAATTGCACTCAGACTGGTGCCAGGATGGCCAGGTACAAAAAGAACATCGGCCGCGGCACGGCACAGTACGGACCATTGGCGGTATTCTTTGGGTGTTGCGAGAATGAGGACAGTCTCGGGATACTTGGCCTGAAGCGCTTCAAGCTTTTCAAAGGGATAATCGCCAGGCTGGCCGAGCAGCACGAGACGCATGTTGTATTTCTGGAAGTAAATGGCCGCTTCCTCAAAGCTGGCAGCTCCGTTGCTGTAGTGGAATGTGCCGGTGAATAAAACCATCGGGCGTTTGGAATCTTCTTCACTGAGCAGCTTGCGACGGACCAAGAACCGCTTTGCTCTGTCTTTGGATGTACTAACAAAATCATTAGGGGATGCTCCAAGGGTCCATTGGGAGCGTTGTGTAGGGGCCGTTTGGCGCGCAGGCACAGACTGTTGCTGGATTAAGTTCAGGGCATGGTTAGGGAAAGAGAGGCCGCGTTGGATAAGCTTAGGGTGGGTAAATGGGCTGACGTTGTCAAAGTTGATGCCGTGGGAGACACCGAAGAAACGCCGGTTCTGGGCCTTTAACAAAAGACTGTCCATCATCATTTCCTTCATTGGCACGTCAAGAATACCCTGGACCATGTCTGATGCCATTGACTGGCTTGCCACAGTTACCATATCTGCCGAAGCCACCGCAAGTCCAGACAGGAAAACCCGTTGGTTGTGTGTGTAGCTTTGGGATTCGATAACCTGGCGAGCACGCTGCAGGAAAGCTTTGTTCTGGTTAGAAGTTCGTGCATTGACAAACAAGGCTGGGTCGTCGAGGAACTTTTGTACGCTGTTTATCGAATGGGCATGCTGCAGCTCACGGTTGTACTCATGTAGTGTGTATACAAACACAGGGGGTTTGGGGCCAAGTTGGTTAGTATCACGTCGGTCACGCATGTGTTTTGCAGCATAGGCAGTTGTTGCTCCGTGTAAATGAACTACATCCACACGCGCGACTGTTTCCATGGGTGCAAATAGCGAAACCTCGTCCATGGCGGATGTGCGGTGAGCCACAAATGCTGCTGCTGCCTTTCCAAAATACTGATCTCTCCATTCTCGTGGAAGACCTTTTTGGGGAGAGTTGATATGAAGTGCATTTTTGGCACGGAAGGCCTGGCTGAACGGGGGTCTATTTCCAGGGCCGATCAAATAGAGAGGAATACTTGTGGTTGAGGTGGCGTTTGGTGAGGTGGCAAACACATGTTCTGTTTTCCAGACACGGAACTCTATTGGCACGGGTCGATTATCTTTGTCACGAATATCGATGATTAAGTCCGCACTACGTTTGAGGGTGTATTTGTTCTTGAGAAATGAATAAAAGGGCATTACGACAGAAACTTGAGCGAGGCCAGATTTCTGTTGAGCAGCAGCCAATGCTGTAACAGCCGCACCGAGAGATCCAGTGTTAGCTAAGCCAAACTCTTCAGTGATGTGAAATACAACGGTGTCAGACGAAAGGTTAATTGGTGCAGAGGTGTTTAGGTGTCGATAAGACATGGCTGGGTATTGGCGCACGGCTAATGAGTTTTTTTTTGAAATGAACAATTAGATCCAATATTAGACAAATAAATAAAAAATAATAAAACAGAATTTAGGTAAAATGCTCTAATTTGGTAAGGTCTAGGCTACACCAGAAAAATAGTAATAATTTATTTTATTTTATTTTACCTATCCGCCCAGGTTGAATATCGTCTTGTAGAAGAGCCCATCCTGTCATAAGGGCTACTAGTTCAACAAGTCCAAGGAAGACAAGAAGGGCTGCGAGAGCATGCCACCATCTCCAGCGTTTATCGGATCTAAAGAAAGGTTGTCGAAGTCTGGAAATAAGGGAAGCTGAGGGTTGGCGATGGGTTTGAGTCTTGGAATGGTTGTGGTTGTGGTTGTGGTTGTTATGGCTGTGGCTGTGGCTGTAGTGCATAGGGACGGCCATGAGAGAAGTCGTTAAGGATCCACGGCGATATGTAGGACAGGAGGTATTTCCAAAGAAAGAGCCGTCGACTGAGTTAGGAGGGGGAGGGGCCATTCAAGGGCGTTGATAAAAAGGAAGGTAAGGGAAGGTAGAGTAAAGGAAGGGGAGGGGAAGAAGGTGGTTGAAGTTAGACCCACTCAAGATGTTGATTCTCACAGTACTTATTAAAGTATTTTTCAAAAAATTATCTTTAAAAGGAGATTGAATATAAACGTTCATGGTGCCGTACCACCAATGTAGAACCAGATCCATTCTCCTACACACACATATATACACACACCATTGGCAGTAAAGAGTAGACAAAGCGAGGAGGTGGCTGTCATCATAGGTTGGCATCGCAACACATGTAGCATAACCAAAAGTCCTATCTTTTGTCCAAATATATATATATCTTAAATTTTAAATTTTATATGATTTATCTAATATACTGCTTAATGGCAGATCCTGTTAGTTCTCGTCTCTTTGGGTCGATCATTTATGTAAATATCTATTATTATTAATTATCCAATCAATGTTAATAGAGTTTTATGTTACTCTCGGAAAATAGAGATAAAAATAAATACAACAGCCATAAAAGACAGAATAAAATAAAATAAAAATATGGGCCAAAACTGACAAAGATTTATCCTCATTGGAAAGGCGAGACATCGCACCCTGGATATATCCATTTAGAGACACTCCCCATGCGCAAATTTGAGGTGCCCTACCCTCTTTTACCTTTTCTCTGTCTCTAGAACTATTGCTGTCTTTCTGTCTCTATTTTCGGAAAAAAGAAAGAAAACAGGAATTGCTGATCAAAGTATTTGATTAATCGATATATATATATATATTCTCTTTTGATATCAAAGTAGAAAACATACGACGGTACCTGTATCAACAAATGACCATTACTATCACTTTAATGAAACACACCTTTTACTTAATTCCTTTTCTAGTCAGCAAGTGGCCAGGTTACAGGAACACTTGAGAAACCTTGGTAATAGCAAAGCATTTAAAACCAATAATATCAATCATGTACACCTCTCCAATTCTCTCTCTACCTGTCTATTTTATTTTTAATTTTTTTAGCTGTACCTTTTTGTTCATGGTTCTGATACACCACATACATCTTTTCCGTTCAGCTCCGCAGGTCTGACTCTTCTCTAGATGTTCCATATCCCGAGTGAAACCTCTGCAGTCAACGGCCTAGGACCAGCTGGAAAAATAAGATGTGCACAGATAACGAATAGTTTATTGGTGCCAAAGTGAATATTGAAAGAAATCAATTGGACAGCCACCAAGACATATTATCGTAAGTATAATTATAATGATCAATCACTGCTTTCGCATCCCTATATCTCTGTCGGTTGATTTGTGGACCTCCATCGCACAACCCAATATTTGAACTTCAGATTTGTTTAAAGAAAACAATAATCAAACACAATAAAATAAAACATTCAAATTTAGACAAACTGCTGAGGTAAAAAAATTAAAATTAAATTAAATTTAAAAAAAAAAAAACTAATTTAAAAAATATTATGCTTTTTTTTTCTTTGGTGTAAAACACAAATATTGGTGTAAAAGCTTCTTATATCAAAGTGTAATAAATATAGTTTAATTGACATAATCTACAGAGGAAGTTGTTGACTTGACTTGAGATGATGGTGATAATCATAGTAAATACAAGACTTATAATCAAATGAATGTTACCATTATTTTTTGGCTATTAATTCCTATTATTCTTTGATATTAGTATTATCATTATTGTGCTATAATTCCAAGTTTACCTTGACTAACATTACAAGAGAATAATACATGTCTAGAACTGTATTTGTTCAAAAAGAAACAGTTGGAAAAGAGTAAGATATTGAAAGGTACATCCTTATTTTGAACTACAATAAGACCAAAGAAATGTGAAAAACTGAAATTGAAACATCTTTTTTTACACAAGTCAATGAATTACTCTCGCAAATATAGTAGAAGATGGTAATTGTGTACCCAATTGAGATAGGCGGTAGAGAAGTATGTAAAGTGAGGGACTGAATATTATGGCATAACATCAGAGTCTACAAAAGCCAACCTCCAACTATTAATTCAAACAGGCAATGAAAACGGGTAGTAAATACTTAAATTGTTAACTGTATATAAAAGACTTGAGCAAGAAATATTATCATAAATGTTAAAAGATGAGCATACAAAATATGAAATAAATAAAAGCTCACTCCACACCGGTGCTATTATTACTGCTTCATTTGAGCCAAATCATTAAATTGTTATATGAATCATTTCCTTCTTTGTTTTAGTGGCAAACCTTTTTTTTTTACTTTATCAGAATAAAGCATTCAAATAAACTTACACAAATAGGGATTTCTTTGTAGCCGTGGCTATTTCTTCTTAAAACAGTCCCTATGAAGACGCCTGTCTACCTCATATATATATACCTATATTTCAATTGGCTCGTAAAGAATTTATATAATTTCTTACTTGTTTATTGTCAAATCTCATAAATACAATATTGTATATTCTGTATATTACTATTACTATTTAAGAAGAACATAAATAATGGTATAGATACATAGATACATAGATACATACTCATACTCATACCCATACCCATACAGAAGCACATACACACGTATATATATATATAATTGATAAGCAATAAAAAAACAAGCCTTTCTTTGACTTTATTAATAATATGATCCTATCTATTTATATGTACACATATACACATACACATATATATAATTACAGTTACGGTGGACTGTACTTAATCAAAGCGATGCTGTAGAAAGTCGAAATGAAGCAGAACTTAAAGTAACGTGTCTTGACCAAATCTCAGCAATAAAGGAAATGAATAAACACCTTTGATTACTAGTATTATCATCATCATCATCATTACAAACTACATTACCTTTTTTTATTTTTATAAATGTACAAGTAATTGTGTGTATATAAATCTTTATTCTCAATTTAGGTTGAGAAACTTGTTCGAACCTACAATCGAGCTCTCTTATTACATCAGACCAAACAGCATGATGAAGCCAAGCAACTATATCAAGAAATATTGACCAATGATATGAAAAGTTTGGAATCTCTCAAAGTAAGATTCAAAATCACATCAATGAAATTACACCCTCAAACACATAACGCACACACACACACACGCCCACGCCCGCATATTCGTTCGCTCACATTGCAATGCTATATGTATATATGTATATGTATTTGTGAGTGTGCACATAAAAAATATACAAATATACAAATAAAAAAAATAGGCAATTTACTAAAGTGGAGCCCTCTATCTATCTATCTATCTATCTATCTATCTATCTATCTATCTATCTATCTATCTATCTTTGTGTGCGTGCGAATATTTCTTTTAACATTAAGGATGAATTCCAGACAGAAACAAGTCGAGAACTATTGAGAAATAATTTGCCTTACTTGACCTACAAAAACTATGCAGAAATCCTAAAAGAAGAATACAACGTATCCAATCCAAAAGAAAGTTCAATTGGAAAGAAAGCCATCAAACTTTACTTAAAGGTTTGTGTGTTAAAAGAAAGGAATAAAGAAATATAGATAGGTATACATGAAAAATATCAATTGGGCGATTATGTTATTGTTCTTCTTGTTGTTGCTTATATTCTTACTCCAATATTTTCACAAGGCTTTGGGTACAGATCCAACAGATCCCACAGTTTGGTGCAAAGTAGGAGACTTGTCGCTCCAATTGGACTGCAAAAAAGTAGCGCTAAAGGCATATCAGAGAGGATTGTCTGCTACGCTAGGGTTCCCAAAAACTATTGAATTTTCTGTCATTGATGATGTAAAACCATTTGTATTTGACAATACTAACAAAGTATTCCTGGAAAAGATCCAGTTCAGTTTCATATCTCCAAATATGTGGAGATGCCTTGATGGTATCTGCACTGTAAGTACATTACCACAATATATACCATATAACACATAAACACATAAATACATGTATGTATTTAGGTGTGGGATAGTCTGGGTGTAATACTTTATCTAGAATTTTTATTATTTTTATTATTAATATATATATATATGTTAATCAGGCGGCTTTCAAGATTGGCAATATTTTTGAATGTACATTCTATATCGACTCTATTCTTCCCAAATATCCACATTGGCCAGTTGGGAAAAAGCTTCGAAAAGAGATCGACAAAGAGAGGGATATGGATATATTTATCAATCAAGGCGACAATTATGGTGATGATAGTGAAGATGAGGTGACCATGTATTAAGCCGCACGGATATCTTCAGTATCGTTACAAAACTCAACTTAGCCAGGATCTACAAAAAAACTTCATTTGCTATATCACGAAACAACAGTACCAAAGAAGTATGTATATTATTAGTATTAGCACTCATACGATCGAATTCAATTCAATTCAGTCGATATCAAACCGAGTATTATATACCTCTTTTGTATCGTGTATTAGAGTCAACTTTATAAGGTGAACCGAATATTATATTATACTAGTCATATAAGTTTCAATTGTTCAAACCATTAATGTCATAGTAAAACGCCTCTGTATATGACTTATGTTTGGTTTTTCTCTCTCTCTCTTTATATATATAAAATAATCTTCAAGTCAATGGCTTAATCTCGCACATGTTGTGCGCAATGGTATTTGTATGCCCAATTTAGATGAATAATAGAAACGAGTGTTAACATTGCAAAACCTTGATTACCGTCAAAAAACCACCATTTTGTTTATTCACATATCACATGAGCTTATATATAGCTATTTCTCACATTTTTTTTTAAGAAAAAGCGTTAGAATAGACTTGATCTGATTGTACTTTATCCTTATCAATATACTTGACCATAAGTATTATATGTTTTATCCATATCATATCCGTAGCATAATCATATCACCATAGCCATATGATACATGAGAAATGACACGGGTAGAGTATAAGAGTAGCGTATTCTTAGTGATACGTTGCATACGTCTTCAAACCACTCGTTGACCCAAACATATCATAGCTTTCTAAATCTTTCTTGTGTATATATTAAAAGAAAAAGAAGAAAAACAGTGCTTAATCAAAACTCAACCTTAAAACGGCCCTTAAAACCCCAAAAAGCTTGCAAGGACATCCCACTAAAGTCGCCTCCCCCCTTTTTCATTAATTTACTATAGTGTAGCGTATAATTGACTAACTAATTAACATAATGGAAATTCAGTACTGGTTGATAAGGATACCAAGTAGAAATGTCATAAATGTCATAAGTATTGACTTTTTGTGTCGAATAAACCCCAAAACACGATATATACCTTTATTTTACTTGCACAGTTATAATTGTTAGTAGTCTCTCTCTCTTCCTCTACTCATCATGTTTACCCTATGCTGTTTATCACAAAAGTCTCAGTGTAATAAACAAGTATACCATGTGATTGCTTAGCGGTATCAGATCAATTATTATGTAAGTAACAGTGTCACAATGATTGTGCTAATAAATATGTAAAAAACATTCGAGGAAAAAATATATGCATATCTCTCATACACATACACTGAAATTACAAAACGTTACCCTGAATAAACCTTTATTGATCACAGCGCAAAAAGTACTTTACTTCTTTATAACCTTACAATTCTCAGTATATATATATACGTATTTGTGGATATAGCAATGATACTGTAATCTGTAGATCACGAGGATTACTTCTCTACATTACAAACCTGCGAATGGAAAGATCAAAAATACAAAATATAGATTTGGTATATCATGGGTACTCATCATATCTTTACTCTAATACAAGCAGCTTTCATCGCAGACCAGACATTAGCTATTTATTTATTTTTGTGCACAACAATATAGTGTAACCTGCAAGAACTATAAACAGACAAGGTCTAGAAGTGAACCTTTTTTATAAGGAAGAAAGAAATGTATCACTACGGGAAAAAAAGTGGTCTTTTTGGTGGTCTTTTAGGTGGTATTTTAGGTGGTCTTTTGGGTGGCAGTTTTGGTAAAACCAGCAAAAAGACCATCCCTATTTTTGGAAATATAATTAGATCTCCGTTGACTGATGGATGTTAGGTTTTATTCATATCCCGATATTTAAATTTATGTATTATTCTTCTCGTTCTATTGGTAGAAAGAAAATAAAAAAGAGCTTTCTTATTGGTATAGATGGAAAAAAAGAATCTTTGTATTGTCACTCATAAAATACTTTCGTTATACTGCTACTTTTAATTGGATAATATAAACTTTATTGCAGTATGCACATTGATAGTATTGGTCATTTAAATAAAAGCATTCTCTCAATTGGTTCTCATATATATATTCTGATTCATTCACAGTTTTAATTGGGCAAAAAAAATTTATTTCATAGAAGATCATTATTTAAAAATGTTTTTATTGGTTGTTATAATAGAAATAATATTTTATTCATGAATCGTACTGGCTAAAATTCCTTCAGATTATTACATATTCTCACATTAATTACACAATTTATTGTACCTACCAGATATGAACTTACCAGAGTATTCTCGCTTCTTACGCCCTCTCCAGAGCTGGCTAACCCTTGCAATTGATGCCCAGTTTCTGTGGCATCTGGTAAAATCGATTCCATTGTCTCTGAGTATGATGGAATGATTGATACACAGCCTGTTTTTATCCTCTTGAGGAAGCAATGACCAGCCAGGGTTTGTTCCAAGATCCTGAACAGATGGAAGAGCTGCCAGTTGATCACATATGACCTTGGTACATGTGTTAACAATTCTCTTGGTTTCCTCGGTCAATTCTATTCTAAGATCGTCTGTTATCATCTTGTATATATGCTTTAAAGTTATATCGTTGATTTTTGATACGGGTCTTGGAATGATGCCAGTAAGAGTCTATTATGTTTGACATTAATTGAAAGGACTTTAGTTGTTATAGTATTTGCTTACACTGGTAGAGGTTACAATAGTTCTATCTGGAAATTCCCGATCTTTAAATTCATTGTAAAAACTTGTCATTTGAAGTTGCATCGCATCTTGTCTTTTTTCTAATGCTTCTTGACGGCCTAGCAATGCTTCTTGACCACTCTTTAGGGAAATAAGTGCCGCTTGTATTCCTTGAAGCAACTGAATCACTGTATTGTCTGTATTGTTCATAATTGTAAGAAAAAATCAGTTACGTGTTTGTTATAGAAAAAGAAAGAAAGAGAAAATTTTTTACCAGAAACTATTATTAGTTTCAAATCTTTAGCTTCAATTTTTTAGCTTCAAATTATTAGTTTCAAATTATCTGTACAAATCTATTGGTTACTCCTGAAGAAACATTGATCTAGTAACTTCACTGATGACATACAGATACTTCTTTAAGATCCCGAGCATATATTCAGAATGCATATAACATCATTGTCTTTATATAATTAAGTATAAAGCTATACATTCAGAAAGTAATTAATTCTATTCTTACTTATATAACAAAGTTTTTTTTTTACCTACCTCAAACATGTCCAAAATTACAAAAGCCCCTCGTTACCAATGCCGTACTTGCAAGTCGACCTTTAATAACAGTCGAACATATAAAAGATGTCTCGAACGATGCATGACAAATAGGGCAGAATTACTTGCCAATGGCGAAGTTTCCCAAACTGTCTCTCTTCCTGATCAAAGCCAGTTTACATCAGCAATGGTTCCTAACTTGGCTTTTGGGTAAGCTTATCAAAAGCAAAAACACAAAACGATAGACAGTATATTAATTAGCTGTATACTTTGATAAACAAACAGAGAAAACATCAACACAAGCAGTAGTGAGGATATGGATATCATTGACAGTACTGAAGATGATGAGTCCATGGTGAGATACATAAATACATATATTATGATAATCATACTTATTGTTGTTTATCTTACTATAGTACGATTTTGGAGAAGAATGCGAGAATGTCATTGACGAAATTGAAGGCACCACACCCTCGCTAGTCTTTGATTTTAGCCAGCCTCTTCCTGTTCCCAGCAACGATGATAAAAAGAATCTCGCGTTCATGCAGTTGATCCAAGAGTTCGGAATTTCTCGTCGAGCCCACGAAAAGATTGTAGAACACTTCAACCAGATCCTTGATTGTTCTATCAATATTACGTACCGAGCATGCAGCCCACACCTTGGAAACAAGCTTCTTGAGCGCTTCTCGGGTATCAAAGCAGACGGATACGACATTTGCATCAGAGGTTGTATGCAGTTCAACAACGAGAATGATATCGCATGCGTAAAATGCGGTGAAGCAAGATACAAAAATGGCCAAACTAGCGAAAGTGACACCAGGGTTCCTGTGAGATCGATCGTACAGCTTCCTTTGGCCAGACAGCTTGCTTTGTGCTTGGCTGATGACAAGACCAGGGCTGAAATGCTCTATCGTCATAACCACCAATCCAGCCAAGACGGGCAGAAAGCAGATGTTTTCGATGGTCATGTATACCAATCCATGAAGCATCTGTTTTCTGGTGAAAACGATATTGCGATTTCGTTGTCCATGGACGGGTTCAACCCACACAATGTACCTGGATCAGTAACCATTGTTCATGCAACTGTCTTAAACTTGAATCCGACGATCCGTTATGAGAAAAACAGGATGATCCAAATAGCAATGCTTCCTGGTTGCACTGGTCCCAGTGACATCTGGTCTTTTCTTGAGCCAACGCTGAGAGATCTCCGTTTGCTCCAGACAGAAGGCATGGAAGTAAAGACACCGACGACAACGATCAGGGCAAAGGTACATGTCCTCATGGCCACTGGCGATATTCCAGCTCTGGCAAAGCTGGCATGCCATGTTGGCCACACGAGTAAGAATGGCTGTCGTATTTGTCACGTAGTGGGCCAAACTCCTAAACATGGCCAGTACTTCCGCATGTTGCCTGGAACCCAGACGCGCTCACTGGAGAGTTTCAGGAACTACAATCTGGCAAGCAGTGAAGACAGAAAGGGGCTCAATGGTCAGTCACCGTTAGCCTCAATGGAAACATTCTCTGGCCCGTTTTTTTTCGCGTTAGACGAGATGCATGGTCTGTGCCACGGAATCGGTAAACAGGTATGGGGACTTGTACGCGGAAAGTATGGAATCAAGCATCCTCTATGTCTTTCTCTTGCCACTCAAAGGGAGATTGGTGCTGCAATGGTAGCCGCAAAATCCACAATCCCTACATCGTTGCATGGTGCCTGGAGAGACGTGACAAAGAATGCCGGTTTCTTTAGAGCTGTGGATTGGGCAGACTTTTTACTCTTTGTTGTCCCCACGTTGGTTGCAGAGCGTGTCCAGGACTTGGTTGCCCGAAATGCATTACTTGGCCTGGTTCAAACATGCAATTTACTCATGAGCTGGGAGTTATCAGCAGAGGATCAAACCTCGATAAGAAGGTATGTTTAATGCCATATTTTATTTCATTTTTCATAGTAATTTACTTTTACCTTTTTTCTTAGTAATCTTGTAGAATGGAACTTATTCCTAGAGAGTCTTCTTTCTACAGCAGATATTGACATTGGCGTGTTCACAATTAACCAGCACATTATTCAGCATTATCCTCAGATGATTGATCTATATGGCCCGCCAAGAGCATATAGCACACGATCCGTGGAAAGAGCCATTGGTGAGTACTCCAGGTCCATCAAGAGTAACTCCCAAGTCAGTGTCAATGCTGGAAACATCATGATCAGACTGGCGCAATCCCGGCGTGTAGCGGAACTGACAACCGTTGCAAACACAAAAACTCCACCAGCTAACCTTCTAGTTTACAGTGCATATACCGATGGGTGGCCTGTTACAGAAGGAGGTGATCCTGCCAATGCTGAGTGTGAGATTGAGTTCTGGGGGCCTTTGAAGAATTTAACAATTTTCGATAGCTTTGAAGATAGATCTCATCTTTCATTGCTTCTTAAAACGTTTTATGATTTGAAGGGGGAAGAATTTAGTATGCTTGAGCCTTCCATAAAGACAAGCCGCAAGGCCTATCTTAATGGTTGTGTTATTGACGCTGCATTCAACCAAAGTTCTACAAGAGAGGCATGTCATGTTCATGTGCAGCTACAAGTGGACATGAACTCCAGAAGATCCCGCTCTTACCGTCCAGGATATAAGCATTTCTTCGGAAAGGTGGTTATATTCTTCCAACATGTACACAACTCGAAGAGATGGCCACTAGCTCTCATAACCATATATAGTGTGCATTTGAAAAATGGATTGCCTATTACATCTGTAGTAAAGCCGAAGACTATAGTGATTCATGCCAGTGACATTGTAGAGTTGGTTGGCTTGGTGCCATCAAATGTCAATGGTAGCCATTACATCATTTGGCCTAGCCTTAAACGTGGCCCAAAATTGACACTTGGTGCCTTAAGTGATATATAATTTGTTTTTTTTTTTTTGTAATAAATTTTTCTTTTTTTTTCAAATTGTCTTAACAAATTTTATCCAAGCAGCAGAAAGTTTAGATATTTTCTTTTTTTTTTATTTCTGACATCCAATATTTCTCAATTCCAATATATATTTACCAAAAATGTAAGATGTTTAATTAGAATGGACATTTGTCCCTCCTGAGATTTAATTTTAAGCGATTCATTTGCTTTTTATCAACCATTTCAAAGAACAAAGATTTTCTTGTTTCAACTTGGATTTTTGGTGATTTTTTGATTATTATAGGCCAAAAATGAAGTCACAAATTCAAAAAAGACCACCTTTTTCCCATAGTGTATTGTAAGATCAAATTTATATTATCTTAGTAAATGCTATATATATATGAATAATCATAATATTTATATAAGCAAAATGTATTGGTGTGGGGCGGGGTAAGAGCAATTAATTACTTATTAAATGCGTAAAATATGACAACTATACTCAAAGTAAGGTTGGCTACCTCCTCTGTCGCAAGGCATGGACATTGGGTACACCCAATTCGGCCTAAATATAAATTAGTTACAGCGATCTTGTACAACCAGAAACAAGGGCAAAGAGAAGAATATATATAATTCGAGTACGCATACCTTTGTATGAGCAATCCCAGCCTTCTCCATTATTTGGGAGTCTGGCGAAGATGAGCAGCGGTAGAAGCCACAATCCTAAACAAGACCCAGGTTTAATTAAAGAGGTACATTTTATACAGCTCTAGGTACTCACTGGTGACCACGGTAACTGGCACATCCAACAAAAACTAAAGCCACATAAGGAACAATCGACCTTATTACATCCTTCGTCTCTGTGAATCATGATTGAACAATTTGGGCAGCGCCGACTAGTAGAAAGAATATAACGTTATCCTTTGTTGATTAATTCTTACTTATTTTATTTACCTATTTTCCAGCTTCCATTCAATTGTCTTGGCTAGATCTACCGATAATTGGCTGTCTTCCAACTTATTTCTCATGTTATCCTCACACGACTGGCTCGCGTGCTTATCTTCACCACATTGTAAGCAGAAGTCTGTATTGCACTTTGAGCTTTAGATAAAAGCACAGCTTGTTAGTTCTAGGCATATAGTGGACAAGTATTGTCAAATTACCATGTAATATCTGGGAAATTTCGGATGTGAGTGAATTGAATTGTGCGCCAGGTATCGGAGCTCATGTTTGTTTGACACAAATGCTCGGCTATAGTAGTGCCCACGGAAGGCAGGTGAGGATGATGCAGGTCAAACTTCTTGATGGCATTGAGCAGATGCTCATATATCTCTGGTAATGTGTTATTCTGTGACCAAGACGGGTTTTCAATCATCCATGTGGCATGCCTAATGTCCTCATGGCTTGGATGTTCCGTGTGACCTTCTTGAGTGCAGCTACCAAGGCTGTCTTTAAGAAGTTTATATGATGCATAAAGATGACTTTTTTTTTGGTTATTGTTGGAAAAGTAAGTATCAATGGCTTGTAGAAATACAGATAGTAACTTACTTTACATCCTTGTTCCTTTTCGTGTAGTCAAGAGGCTTGTTTTCAGTCTCGCAACAGGGACAAGCACGGGTGTAGCTGCGGTAGGGTTGATTGAATTTGTTGTAGTGTTCTAGTACAGCCGGAGACACATATTTGCTCCATTCTGACTTGGGGACCGTACGTTGGCAGACAGGGCATTGTATTTGAGTAACTCCTAGTCCCCAAGAAGACTTTACAACTTCGGTAACATACAATCCGAAGCATTCCTGACAGAACTGGTCTCTACAGAGCTCTAAGCACAACTCAAGACGAGCGTCGAAACAGATAGAGCATCGTTGAAGCCAATAATTCATTTCTTCTTCCTCAAACTCATCACTATCCTCAGTGTACTGATCTTCTGAGTCTTGAGTATAACTAAGTGCCATAGGATCCAAGTGTTATAAGAAAATTTAAAAAAATTAATAAAAAGAAAGGTCAAGATTTTATCAAAAAGAGAAGAGAAAAAGCAAGTAAAAATAATAGTAGTATACAAATAAGAAGGGGGAAAAACAAGTGATGATGTCAAGAGGATCATATCAATTAAACAAGTAGGCAATTCTTGTCTTTAATTGGGGATTAGATAAACTGTGTGGGTCGAGACAACACGATACGTCCGAGAAAGAGCTTAATATCTAGACGGGTGACTTGTACTTGTATAGGGGAAGATCACACACACAAGCAAGTAAACTCCTACCAAATTATGCAAATTCTTACTTCATTTTTTTTTAACTCTTTTTTTTTTCTTTCCCAGTGCCACCTTGTTCATAAAAAAACACGAGTCACTCTGCATTCCTTGCTTTGGATCTCTTTCTTATTGAATTCACATTATGGAAACCAAACCAAATGATTTTTCATCCGACCCCCGGATGAAGTTTGATGAACAAACAGGAAAATGGTCATATGTAGGAGAAGACGGCGTGTCATTCGAGTACGATACAAATGTGAATGCCTGGTTTCCAATGGTAAACTATCTTTTTTTTTTAATTTTTTTTTCATTATCCCGGATTTATTCTGACCATTGTTTTATGTCTCATGTTATTAAATATATAGTACAACCAAGAATTGATTGAGTCGCAACAGTCAGTCTATGCAGTCGAGGGTGTAGACGAATCGGTAAATAATAAAAGTGATAATCTCATTTTTAGAGCCATTGGACTAATCAATCATAACTATCATAGGCTCCTGCTGTTTTGCCCCGCGAAAAGAAGAAGCGAATCTATACATACGAAGTAATTTACTTGTTTGGTTAACACTAGTATATGTATAATTATTAACATACTCTTTTCTTTTTGTAGGATCCAGAAGAAGAAGCAAAGAAGAAGCAAAAGCGCGAACCCGTCAAGAAACCAAACACAAGCGTTTATATCACACACCTTCCATTGGATGTTACAGTTGATGAAATGAAACAGACTTTTAGTAAATGTGGCTTGATTATGGAGGATTTGGAGACAGGTAAGACTTATTCTATACAATATATATATATAGGAAATGTAAATATGAATAGTGGTATTGAGAATATGTATATATGATGTGTGTGTGTGTGTGTGTGTTTAGGTGAACCCAAAATCAAACTTTACAAAGATGACAAGGGTACTTTCAAGGGAGATGCACTTGTAACTTATTTCAAAGAAGATTCTGTGCCTTTGGCTATCAATCTACTGGATGAATCAGAGTTGCGTCTTGGAAAGCCAGAAACCAAGATTAGTGTACAGCAGGCAAGTTTTCTTCTTATTTACCCGCAAGAGAAATAAATGTATATATGTCAATGTTACCCATCCCTACTATTGATGATTTAGCTTATGTAATTAACACACAGTATTTGGTAATAGGCAGTATTTAAGGATAAAGAAATTGACCCAAAGAAAAAATCTGTGCCACAGACCCAAAAGAATAAAGTAAAAAAGAAGTTGCATCAGTTGAAGAGGTAAGGTTTTGTATTCGAAGTACAAGAAACTCATCTTACATGACATAGAAAACTTGACTGGTTTGATGATGAGAGTGGAAAGAAGGATGAAAAGTTTTCAAAGATTGTTATCTTGAAGCACATGTACACTCAAGAGGAATTGGATGTAAGGGTTAAATGAATATATGTGAAGAAATATCTTCTCATTTATTATTATTTGTATGTGTGTTTTAGGAGGACCCGACGCTCTTATTGGAACTTAAAGACGATGTACGAGGCGAATGCGAAAAATTGGGTGAGGTGACAAACGTGATTCTTTACGATGTAAGTATCAAATTTACTTTGCTTTTTTGTTTTGAAGTGCTAATTATCTTGTGTAGAAATCACCTGGAGGAATTATTTCTGTTAGATTTATGGATACAGAGAGCGCAAATGCTTGTGTAGTGGCAAGTAGTACAGAAAACAAGGCAACATGAGAAACTAACTACAAATTTAGAAAATGAACAAGCGATTCTTTGCTGGCCGTCAGATTGAGGCCGAGATTTACGATGGAAAGGCACGATACGAGAAGAGTGGTGGAAAGTCCAACGTAGAAGAAGACGAGGAGGAAGAGAAGAAGAGACTGGAGCGTTATGCAAAATGGCTGGAAGAACAAGGCTCTGAGGAGCATGTCGAGGGAGAGGGTCAATAAAAATAATACAAGATAATAATCTACTTACTGCGTTGGTGGGTGACGCAGCCTAAAAACAAGAAAAGAACAAAACCAGATAGAGAAAGAGAGAGAAAAAAATGATTCTTTACTAGGTCCATCAGAACAACCTTTGGTCTTGATTGTGATCTCCTGAATGGCTTCCCCTTGTTACACTCAGGCAACTCCTTTTACTTACCCCCTTATTTTTTACAGTCTTTGTTTTTCTCTTGCTCTCTTTCTCTCTTTCTCTTTATTTTCTTTCCTTTTACATTCATTTACTATGCATATCAAGTCTATGTATGAGCCCAAAGACGCCAGGACACTCTCCATCCAGAGAGGTGGTGAGGAAGATCCAGACGATATGAGCTTGTTTAGTACATCGGATTCTACACCCCGGCAGACTCGTAAAAAAGGTACTGACACTCAGGCCTTGGTCGAGTTCCTCAACAATACGAGCCCGGAAGAGTTTCGACATGTCAATGAACGCACGAGCGCAACGAATCTGTTTTTCCGACGCCGCAAGAACAAGCAGCCCCCACCTGCTGTCACTCGCCCCTCTCCTTCCCCATCAACCTCATGTCCTGTCCCAGGCTCCGCTCCTTCATCTACAACCACCCTGCTTAACGATGCTCTTCTAAAAGAACGCAAGAGCTACATAGAGATTGTCGCCAATCCGTCCCGTTCGCGCGAGTCCTCAACCTCAAGCCTTCAACCGACCTTGACACCACACATCCGCCACAGCGACTCCCAGCTGCCAATTTTGCCGTCCAAGTCTCAGCGGGAGTCGAGTCTCTACAGTGAATCCTTGCGGCATTCGACTTCAATCCGTAGCCAGATGAGCTCCAATCCACGCACTCGTTCTCTGATGCGCCAGGACACTTACAGCAGCGTTAATAGCAATACACGTTCTCCGCGAGACGCCAAAGAAAAGCGGCGAGTAGAGGCTGTCGTATCTTCCCTTGCAGCTGATGGGCGGGAGACTATTGAGGCTGGACTCATCCAGCGCCTTGAGAGGTACAGGGTTAGCAAGGCCGACAAGCCTAGTGATGTCGTTTCTACCGATCTTGCTGCCGAGCATATTAGAGCACTACATGTCTCCGCACCCAAACCAGCCGGCATGGTAAAAGTACGACATGTCCAGGTCCAAACCATGTCTTGGTCTGAGACTCCTTCCTTGCCCACCTCTACTATAGTTATTGCACCAAAGAAGATAAAGAGCGAAACCCCCCGGACAGTCGAGTCTCTCGAGCGCCAATTGGAGGAAGAGAGACAACAACGGAAGCGTGCAGAGGCCGCATTGGAAGAGACGATGGATAACTTTGAGGTGTTGAGTGGGCTAGCTTACAAAAAGCTTCGAGAACTATGGGAGGAAAAGATGCGCTGGGAAAATGCATGCGTGGAGCTAAGGGACAGGCTGCTGGAGACAATGCATCCTACTTCGCTGGACTACACACCTGTATCTCTCCCAAGTGATTATGTTGAGAGCACTCTTTAATATAGAGTTTTCATCCAAGACCGTCTTATTATTATTTTATTAATATTTTCTTTCTTCATAAAAATTCAACAAGAAAAAAAAGTACTATGGACTTGAACGTTTGTAAATGGTATATAAAAAAAGTTTATGGTTTGGTGTATTAGAGTTTAAGGCTGCTTTATTTTCTCTTCAAAACAGTACTACACCAATCTACAACAACACCAATATCCTCTCTCCAGATATCCTCTGAGGGTGCGCAAAGGCTTTCCATAATATGAATGTGGGCCACACTAGGACGTATTAACGGAGTAAGGGGAACTCCTTGACTTCGCATTTTTTCTGAAAACTTGATAATGCTTCCAGCCAACATCTCTTTATCGGCGTAAACTAATAACATGGGGCATGAGCCATAGTAGTCTCCATATATAGGAGATATTTCAGGGTTCTTGATATAGGCAGAATACTCAGATGGAGTCATTTTTTTGAGTTGTGGAAGATAGGACGTAGCGGCAAGATAAAATATTTTCTTGGACAGAATATCAGTATACTTTGCAGCCTCAAGTGCAGGCTCGTCAAGCTCTACGTCGACCCATGGTGACATTGGGACGACACCTGCTGGCATAGGAATTGGGGGAAGAGCCGCCAACGCAGGAATGGTGCGTTGGTTACACAAAGACCAAGTTGTTTGAAGAACCAAATTTCCACCTGCACTATCACCGACTATGAAAAAATAAATAAAGATATTAAAAAGTAAGAAATACTGGTGTGCAGCAGATTGGGTTCATCAACTTTAAACATTTAAATCTTGGTCATATGGTGTCTTTTGGTATATAAATGAGAAAGAAAGAAAAAGAATGCTCACTTATGATGATCTTGGACGGACTGATACCCAAATCGTGGACAAGGTATATATAGGCGGCCAGACATTCTTCTTTTTGTTTTGGCCATTGGACTTCTGGTGAAAGAGAGTATTCCACTGAAAGGATGCGTGCATTGATACCGCGGTTTGCCTTAAATTGGTTGATGAATTCAATAAAGGTCTTAATATATCCAACTGATGTTCCAAAGTAGAATCCACCACCTGTGTACCGATACACAATTAGCACAATAAAATTAAGAGTACCGCATGTGTACTGAATAAAACAAGCTTTAACGTTCTGACCTACCATGCATATATAAAATAATAAGGTCTGCGTCGAAGGCACTAGTTTCTACTGACCCGGTCTTGCTCATTTGTTTAGCAGAAGGGAAGATCCAACGGCCTTCCCACGTGTCCTTCTTTATGGGAGTAACCCATTTGACCTGCTCTCCTTGTGGAGTACCGATAAATATCATGAAAGCTCTCACATAAGGTATGTCAAGAGAAAGGAAGCATTGAATGAGAGGAACACGAATAGAATATGGTATAACACCAGCAAGCCAGCGAAAACCACTCGCAGCATGATTTCGAACTATTTCAGACCACATGAATAAAGAGAGATTGAGTCAGAACTAGTAAGTAATTTATAATAATTAACTGAGGTGTGTTGACACTTTACCTAGAATTTTACCGTTTGTGGTGCACATGCAGACCAGTAAAAAGGCAGCAATAAGAGATTGAAAACCAGGAATAAATCCCCAGATATTTTCAAGAAATCCCATTGAAAATTTGTATTGGTCCAGTAGATGGCCTTTAAATATATAAACACAATATATGAATAGATGGACAAAAAGAGATAAAATAGGTCTCGAACTTTGTGCAATTTATATGTTGTCAAAATTCTGGACAGTAGGGGAAGAGGCTTTTATATACCGCTAAGCTTGCGTCACAAACACAGGAACAGACACAGGCACAGACACAGGAAGAGGCACATGAACGTACACAAGTAAAATAATTGCGCATATAATTTGTAGCTTTAGTGAACTAAAAATCTTTCTAATGTCTTCTTTTTTTTTTCTTCTTCTTCTTTTTTGAATAACGAGTATGTGTTTTGAAACGAGTCTGATAAATACACCTGATAACAAATCCATTAAACTATCGGCGCAGGCGTAAACTGTGAATTACCAAATTTGTAAGACAATTATAACTCCGGCGCTTAATTTCTTTTGAAAGCTATCCATTGAAGATTTAATGGATATCTAAGCCTTTAAAGCCGAACCTTCTCCTCTGAATTCTTCAAGACGTATCTACCTAATATTTTTTTCTCAAATGACTTAATATAAGCTATATAAGGTAATCCTTGGCTAATATGTACAGGAATATCATCTAGAAATATAAACTATTAACATAACGCACCAAAGAACTCAGTATAAATATGAGTCTTTTTTGTCTTGAGCTTTTTCGTTCATTTTCTTTTATTTTATCTACTGCACTCTTATATGCAAATAAATATGTTCCCATTACTTTCAAAGACACTAATAGAGATAGTGACAAGAAATTAATCTTCAAAAGACATAATCCTTCTAAAAAAGAAAAAGAGATCAACTTCTAGAAAGTTGCATGGTATAACATTCAAGCCAAAGAAGAAGAAGAAAAATGGAAGAATCCAACTGCCGAAAATAATCTTGCTCTAATGCAAGAGTATGCGGGTCTCTCTGCACCTGTTTGTCAAGAAGATATTTTCTAAAAAAAATTAGGATATGTCTATCTAAAGAGTGAGCTTATGTGTCAATCTGCGTTCGCCATCTGATTACATGATGGATAATAGCTTCAATACCTCTGTAAACTATCATCTCTAACGACGCTTATGTATAGTTTTTCTTAAGCGCATTATTGAAGTAGTAAACGTGTTGGACTGTCCTTGTGGTATGTGTTTGTTTTAATAAAATAAGCTCAAATAGAAGTAGATTGAATGTAAATCATCCTTTATAACAGTATTATTCATACAGATGTATGTTATCAAAGTCAGAATGATTGTTTTATTTCTCATTCTCATCATAACGATAATTTCTCTGACATAAACCTATGAATACTTTAAGCACGGATTCGAGATGATCGCTACTTTTGGTAAAGAACATCTCAAGTCAGATATCAGGCTTTCTAACATATACTCTTTCGGAGGAAGCAATAAATATGGAATATTTCATCGCAGCTTTCCTGCTGGATTGCAGTTCCGCTGTTCATATATGAGAAATGCCAATCTGCTTTATTAGTTTGATACCACCTGCATGGCTCTTCCCGCTAAAGTACCGGACCCACCTATTGGGTCCACCACAACACTAGGTCAAGCCAATATAACCACTCCACAACCCTCTACTACTACCTCTACCACAACCAACACTAGGTCATATCTCGATGTCGCCACAGCCACTCCCGCCCCCGGTCAAGTACCAGTCGTTCTTTTCTCTAACTTGCCGACATCTACGGATCGCGTCTGGCGCGAAAGTACATCTCGTCATTCGGTATTCTTCACCCCACCAACTGATTCCACCCTTACCTACGGCGACGACGACCAAGACTCCCAGAATATCCTAACTGATGACGAGATGGCAGACGGCGATCATTCTTAAATTTATGATTAATATAGCCTCCATGAACTGCCGCGGACTTGTCAAGTCCGGAAACACCAATAATCGCTCTCTCTTTATTAGATATCTTCGCTCCCTCTCTCTAGACATACTTGCCCTTCAAGAAACTCACGCCAACACAGACGCTCTTCAACAGACGTTTCATCTTCAATTTCAAGCATCCGACTCACTATGGTCTCCTCACTGTGGTTTGGTTTCCCTCTCTCCCCTCATTTCTTTTACTGATCCTCTTTTTTCTCTCTGTGGTCGTTGCATTACTGCCACTGTTGTTCACTCTTCCAATTTGTTTGCCCCATTTCGTATTTGCGTTTTATATGTCCCTGCTTCATATCGTCCTCGATATGATTTTCTCACCTCTCTCCTATCCTCCCCACATCTTCTCCCTTCCCTTCCTTCTCGCTTTCTTATGCTAGGAGATTTTAATTATTCCTCATATGCAAATGCCTCTCGTGCTGGCCTCGCGCCACGTCTATGGCTGCATTTTGTCGCTAACCACTTTGTAGACTGTGTCACTTTGTCTGACGCTCAACCTATGCCTACCTTTCATCGCGACCTTTCCTCTTCGACTATCGACTACATATATGCCTCCAAGGATATAGCGTCTTGTCACTCTTCGTCCACCGTCACATTTGTTCAGCCCCTGTGGACCGATCATTGCCTTGTACGTACCTGTCTTAGTTTTCCTATGCTGTCTCACATTGGTCGAGGTTTGTGGCGTGCGAACCCTCGTTTGGCGAACATCCCTTCCTTCCGCTCCTCCCTGTCCGACTGTCTTTCATCCTTCATACCACTACTCTCGCCTTCAATTTCCCCCCAATCACAGTGGGATCTGATCAAAGTCGAAGTGGCTCGTTTCACACGTTCATATTCACGCACAACCCGCCCATCACTTGCCACTTTGGAGGTAAAGCTTCAGAGTAAACGTGACCATTTGATACATAGATTTCGCCATCAGCCTGCTCAGAACTTCCAGCTGCCCATCGTCGAGCGTCAACTTCAGCAAGTTCAACAGGAACGCACCGAGATACTAGCACTCCGCGCCGGAAAACACTGGAGAGAACAAGGCGAAACTTCCGCTGGGTTTTTGAAACGCACAGTTGCTTTTCGCCAAGCTCGAACCACAATAACCAGCCTCCGCCACCCCTTCACCGACACCTTATGCACTGATCCCGATGATCTTACAGAAGCTGCTGCTGCATTTTATGAAGATCTTTACACACCCGACCCTCCTGCTCAGACAGCTATCGACGACCTCCTCCTTCACTTGCCACCAGACCTCTTTCTTTCCGAAACTACCTCCACGACCCTCCTTAAACCCTTCACCTTGGATGACATCCGAGACGGCGCCACTCGCACTCCTAATGCCAGTAGCCCTGGGCCGGATGGCCTGCCTTATGAGATTCTGCGATTAATTATGGATCATCCGATGTGTGCTGTCTTACTTGTTCGAATATTTAACGATGGGCTTGCCCTCGGTGTGTTCCCTTCGTCCTGGCAATCAACCTGCGTCTCTCTTCTTCCCAAGAAAGGTGACCTCACCTCCCTCCGCAACTGGCGCCCGATCGCTCTCATCAATACCGATGCCAAAGTGTTCACTCGCCTCATCAATCGTCGCATGGTGCCTGCTGCTTCCTCCTTTGTTACGCCCTTCCAGACCGGGTTTGTCCAAGGACGCTTCATTGCTGACAATGGCATGCTGACCAAGTTGGTTATGGCACAGGCTAGACAGGACGGTTCATCTGGTATAGACCTTCTTTTGGATCAGGAGAAAGCTTACGACAGAGTCCATCCCGACTACCTTCGCCAGGTCTTGCAGCATTTCAACTTTCCCCCTTCCCTCCATACCTGTATATCTCAACTTTTCTTCTCTACACAGATTCGAATCAATGTCAATGGACACCTATCCCGATCATTCCTTCAGGCTCGTGGACTCCGGCAGGGTGATCCTCTTTCTCCTGTACTCTTTAACCTTGCATTCGAATCTTTGTTGCGTCGTGTGATTCATGATCCTTCCTTTGCCGGATTTTCTCCATCACCACGCACTGCTATTCCACCACCTCCGCCCATCAAGCTCTTGGCCTATGCCGACGATCTGCTAGTCTTTCTGCCTGATGCCGCCCACTTGTCCCGTCTTCATCATCATCTTCTCACATACTCTCATGCCTCCAATGCTCGCATCAATCTCCATAAAACTGAAGCTTTCTCCCTGTCCAGTCTTCCACTGCCAGAATGGCGCCCCGTCCTACAACAATTCGACATCACCGCCTGGTCTGACAGATCTTCCTCCACTCCCCTGCGATATCTCGGCTTTCCTCTTATTCAATCCTTACCTCAGCGCAATTCTTTCTGTGACAACATTCTTTCCAAGATTGAATCTACCTGTAATATCCACCACTCTCTCTCTCTCTCTATTCGTGGCCGTGCCACAGTGCTCAACTCTCTCATCCTCTCTAAGTTCTGGCACGTCCTCAGAGTTGTCACTGTACCTCTATCCTTTTTCCGTCGACTTCGCTCGATCATGAGTAAGTTTATACAATACCGCTCCTTTCCTCCCATTTCTCTCGACACTTTCTGCCAGCCTATTCTGCTCGGCGGTCTAGGGGTCCTTGATCCTCAGGTTCAACAGGCTGCTCTTCAGTTGCGCTGGCTCCGGCCTCTCGTCCGCTCTCCGCTGTCCCCCTCTGGCCTGGTCCCGCCTTGGTTCTCTTACGTCCTCCGCCTCGACTCCTCATCTGCTGATCCACTCGTTCCTTTGATATTTCCATCTCTCCGATCCTCTCATCAGCGTGATTTCGACTCTCCGCTGGCCACCCTACTTGCTGCCATTGATCTTCTCCCTCACAACTTCTCTGACGTGGTAGTCAACCTCCCCATCTGTCTCTCTCTGCCTCTCTCCTATCTCACTACCGCACAACCAGACCACCCTCCCTTTCCATCTGCATGGCGCGATCTCCGGGTTTCCGACGCCTATGAAGTAGATCCTAGTTTCGGCGTGCTTGCCCAACGCCCCCTCCACCGCATACTCCGTCGTCCTATTGTCCTTCACCGGTTCTTCGAACGTCTCTACACTCGCTCTCTTGTCTTGCACCCTGTCCTGTATCGTGCCACCATTCCCCCCGCGATCTGTGCCATACAGTTTCCTTCGCTAGATATGCCTTCCGGTACAGCTGTCGATGTGCGTCCTTTCTTGACGGCTCTTGTCCCCGGCATCCCTTGGTATCGTTTGTCCACCCAGTCTTTCCGCCTACTCTGCAATTTCCACTCCAAATCCGCACGCCCCATAAGCCCCACACTCGTCCCTCGCCAGCTTCGTCGGTTTTGGTCCTTCCCCCTGCCGCATGGGGCCCGCAACGTTTGGTTTCGTGCCCTGCACAAGAACATTCCTTGCCGTTCTCGCCTCAATTCTAGGATCCCTACCGCTTTCCCAGACCCATCCTGTGCCCTCTGCTCTCACCCTCTGGACAATCAAACTCATTTTTTGTTCCAGTGTCCGGTCAAACTGTCCGTATGGTCGTCAATCTGGACGTTGTACTTCGCCCAGACCGCGACACCCACTGTCTTGCTTTCTGGTTTGCAATCCTTCACATTCCCTCCTTGCACCGATTATTCTCTTTCTGCTGCCTCAATTTTTGGCTGCACGCTGCTGGCTATATGGCGCCATCATTGGCTGTTCATATTTGATCACGTTCCTTTTGTCTCCTCCGCTGCCTTTTCCACTGCTTCCTCTCTTCTCGACCGCCTCAAGAGCGAACTTGCTCTCGACTTTCCCCCCCTTTAGCTTCCTTCCATACCTCCACAATATATATAACCACAAACATATAAATAGAAAAACATTGTAAAAATATAAAAGCCAAAAACAAGTCGTGATTTTCCTCTTTTGCCTTGCAGCATAGAGGCTCACTAATAAACTAGAGCCTTCGGCTCCCTACAAAAAAAATTGATACCACCTGCTCTAGAGACGTCAAGAGTTTTAGTGTCGCAGAAACTATTGATTATAGAATCGGCTACGAGTAGTGTACGGTATTCCCAAAGCCTTTTCAGATTTGGCCCTTTAATGAGCAATGAAAACATATATAACAAACAATTATAGTATAAACACAACCAGGCTAGTTTTTAGCTCAGTATGGCCACCACCAGCACTGATTCACTTATTTCCCATAGTTATGCTAGTAACGGCCTTAAGGCCAGTAGAAGCACCACCAAGATAGATTGTAATAAGAGATCCCGATCTAATCATGTTAATTTTGGAGATGACTGCAATCATTTTGCACCCAAGTTCAATCATAATGAATCCAGCAATAATAATGACGCTGATTATTAAAATCATAGATTACTGAGCGATGAAATCTCACCACCTTTTCAAACTTTGCCAAGCTTTACTGTTAAGATACCCAGTAGTTATTTAATAGAGTCAGTTGAAGAAAACTTAAGGCTTCAAACACATATTATATTTAAAAGTAATAAAAAAATTCCAAACTGGAATTATTAAGAATCTTCAACCATTTACAAGGTGTGAATAGTAGGTGCAAAATACTGAATTTGCTCTACAGAGCTTTGAACTAAAAGAGAGAGAGACATGGTGAATAGCAGACGCGAAAAAGTTGTAGACTAAAGAAGAAGAAAAAATTACTGTATGAATTAATTTTCATAAGAAATTAATTGTAGACCTTCAAAGAAAACCTAAAAATGAAATCATGCAAGTAATCCAATTGTGTACAATTTTGTTGATCTTGGGTTTAATTGTCTATATTATGGTTAATATAACCAATACTCATTACTTTAGGCAAAAGTTCCATAATCAATAGCCGTAAAGCGGATGTTCTTCGTAAGTGAGCTGGTACCTCCAAGAAAAGACCGCCACAAATTCTTCTCTGTAAACCTTTCTGGACAACCAAGTGGTTGTATGTGGTTATTCATAATAAACTAGAAATTTAGTACTACGCCAAAGTCTCTGTAAAATAATCTCAAAAGCTTTAAAGACTCTTGATTTGTACAGATAATTCTCGTCTTAATTTCTTGAACTTTCTTGCTTTAGTCTCCTTTTGGTGCTGATTTGAAGTACAAAGATAAAGTCTTTCAGTATCCTTGGTTCTAGAGTTTTCTTATATATATATATGAGAAACATATCTCTTTGAACAGGATACATATACGCGCATTTAATCGCTATCTCTTAGACTTTTAGCCTTTGATTTGCAAGAGAATCTTGAGCAATGCTTTGTATTTCACCTTTCATTGCCTTTCAGTTTTGTTTGATCATCGAAGCACCCACACCATCGGCTTAGATTGTGTTGTCAAATTAAAGGAAAGAAAATAAAAACCAAAATCATGTTATATTGTGATATATAGCTTGTAATGAAAATTAAATTCATTCATTCAATAAATTAATTCTCTGTTCGTCCAAAACTTTTTCAAAGCTGTCTGAACATTTTTGCATTTGTTTCCTTTTAGGTTAAAACTTTGCATTGAAATAGCAAAAGCCATAATTTTCGATTTCTCAAATTTTAAATAGTTTGAGTTCTAGCAGTGTATGAATTCGCGTGTGTCCTTCTTTTCTTTTCTTTTACTGGCTTATAGATGTATTAATCAAGAAATATAAAGAATACTATAGAGTGTATTGGACAAGGAAGTTTATGTACAAAGTGTATAATACTATGGTCAAAGGAGGGTATATTCTCCCCTGTCCATGAGTTTCGGATACTATATCTATCGTGAAAGTCTAGGGTGCTTGTATCTCAATGGGTGGATCCACCCTAGTCTGACCATCGTCTACCATAAGATGCTCTTGAGTGTATTCCTTCTTCTTTGAAGCATTGTTGATCCAGCTCAGATAAGCATTCCACATAATGCCCAGACTGCTTACGAATGGCAAACGATACTGGAGAGGCATAACCTTGAAATTAATGAGCTGGACGACAGGCCACACCTTGTAGTTCATTACAAGCGCAGGTAAAAATGCATCCCTGAACTTTTCCTGGACACCTTCCCACTTTTTGGTTTCTATGAAACCCATGATAGTAAAGAACATAGTGAGACCAGCGGGTGCAAAGAGCGCTTGGTCTGCAACCTAATAAGATTTTTAAGCAACATAGTCCGCTGGATACACTGTTCCATATATGGATATACATATCCTTATACACATCCACACATGTTTCTAGATTCTTCCGACTCTACTTTTCACATTTGAACTTACCATGCGCTTTATAGCTGTAATGTCTTTCTGTCTACCAACAGCCTTCTGGACTGCTTTGGATGCAGTAGCTGCTACCGCTGGCATAGGGAAAAACTTGTCGAGAAACATGAACCATTTTCCGAGAAGTGGCGCGACACTGAAATTGTAGGCTGCAAATCGAAGGGTTCGCGTGGGCTCCCAAGTAGGAGGAGGGGTACACAAAATCTCATCTTGCTGTAAGCTATCAGGCAATCTGTCTTCAAGGTGAAGTCTGTGGGTGTGATCTTTGCTGGCCGCAAGTGATCTTAGACCCTCTTTCTTTTTGACGTGGTAGTCATAGTGTGTTATACTCTGAGCAAGTGTGTCACTGAGTGCGCCAAGAATACCATTTGTCACGCAGAGAGTGAGAATTGGTCGTTTATCGTAAGATCGATTATAGAAGTCGCGGAAAGTCCTTAGTGACTGCATGATGAAAGAGAAGAAGAGAAAGTAAAGGTGACAAGAACAGAGTTAAGAAGTATAATTGTCTTGATGTGACTACTTTTAATACCTTCTATCTCATTGATATCTACGTCACAACTAAGTCTACTGTAGGTTTTGGTGTGAATACTAGGAAGGTGCGCAGAAGACATACTCTATAGGATGTAAAATAATGATATTAATCTTGCAATCACAAGCGTTCGCTTCCTCTAGACGCCAATTTACCGATTTGGGAACAAAGTATTCATTCCTATTGGACAACTATATTTTCTAGAGCATTGATTTATTTTCAAATAACGCACAGCATTATAAAAGCTAGGATGGTAATTTAAACGATCTTTGATCTCAGGATACGCAATCTTGACCTCATAAAATCCTAATAATGGGACCAGAACTAGTGCAAATCAAGGGCAGTAGATAAAATGGAGCAATAAATAACATAGAGTGGAGACGACAATGATTTCATTATTTGAGTTGTAAATATTTATTGTAATAAGCCTGGTTTTGTCGAAATATCCAGATTAGAATGAAAGAATAAAATATTAAGCAATGTAGTAGAATTGATCAATAATGGCGTCAATCCTTTTATTAGTGGGTTCATTTGTCATAAAATGTTTTACATAAAGTCATCATCCGAATCATCAGAGCCATTGGCGGGTCTTTGATTACTACGCATATTTCCTTCATCAAATAGATTCGAAATCTCCTGTTGTGCTTTTCTGTTCTCAAGAGCCAACAAACGAATTCTCTCATTCTAGTGAAAGTAATATATATATAATTCACCATTTAGTTGGTTCCACCACATTTACTTCATTTTTATATATAAAAAGTCTTTATTAATTCTTACCTCTTTGAATTCCTCTTCGCGTGCTGCCTTTCTATCAATCTTATCTCTCTGAATCTTTTCTTCCATAAGATCAACTTGGCGCTCATCCTTTGTCTTGTTCAATCGATTCACAATTGCATTGATTCTCTCGTGAACTATAACACGCTTAACCTAAAACAAGAGTCAACCTATTTATTTATTTTTCTTGGTTCTAATATCTTTTTTTTTATATTTTATTTTTACCTTTTTATGATTGAAGAAAGTGACTTGACCAGTCTCCATACCAGGAGTCTTCTTCAGATTATCCCAAGGAGTATAAATGATAGTAACATTGTTTTTCTTGTTGCCTAGTCTAATGAAATCAGTAAACAAAAGAAATGACTACCATTGATACATCGAAAGAAAGAAAGAAAAACAATAATTCACCAACCCTCAATACTGTTGGCTTTTACAAGCTGGGCACAGTCTTCAACGACAGCCTCGGGAATATCAAGCCATGTTTGACCGGGTTGGAGACGGACATATACGTGTGCACTCGAGAGTTTATCGACGTGGAACTAAAATAAGGTTAGAGACTCCTCATTTTATTTTATCTAAAATTTATATTCATGCATATTTTCATAATCTGTCAAGCCTTACCCTAAATGAAAGAATACAAGTCTTGAGTATACATAATTTGAATAACATGAAAAAAAAATACATGGCATTTGCCCTCCTTCTGTCTTTTATTTCTTAAATATTTTTTTAAAAAAAAACATACCACACATCCTCTGGAAAACCATATTTGATCAAATCCTCGTCTATATAAAATCAATTATTAAATATATAAGTACTTTTGAAATTGGTAGGAAAGATAATAATAATAATGTTAATTACTTTCAAACTTGTCTCTGCCCATGTAAATGGTGACAGGAGGATCGACAACTGATAAATAATAAGAATAATAATATTTCGAATAAAATTCCAAATAAGTTCCAGATTCATTCTTGGTACACCGGGTAGTTCTTGTTGCTTTATTGTTATTTTTCTTCTTCTTATACCATTGCTCTTGAAGTATAAGACCATAATGGAATTGTAAGGTCGGACAGAAACCCTTCTCTTCCCAGGGGAAAATCAAACCACAGATTGATTATGCTGAAAGTGTGGCGCATTGGAACCTGTGACACGTTTTCTTTGACTTAGGAACCGAGAGGAATAAAGCAAATGCTTGTCGGATAAAGTAAAATGGTGGAGAAAGGAAATCAAGACATCGTCCATCGTCCATCACCATGCCGCCCACCAAGCCTTCATTCAAGAGTTCCACAAAGACACAGGGAAAGTCTTACAAGGGCATGAGAAACACTGATGTTCTTTCCGCAGGATCAAAGATCTATGCAAAGAAAAGAAAGGTCAACAAGGAGACAATTCCCAGTGTCGACTTTGACTTTGATAAGCGAAAGTGAGTTATTTTCTTTTTTTAATATTTTATTTTAAGAATATTATATAAGCTTACTTATATGTACCTTTCTCTCTCTCTCTCTCTCTCTCCTTTTCTCTTTAGAGAATTCTTGACAGGTTTCTCTAAACGTAAGCAGGAACGTAAGAAGAAGACTATTGAAAAGTACCAGGAAATTGCACGACAAGACAGACTTGCTGCTCGCGCTGAGTCCCGTGCCGAGCGAAAGAGAACAGCAGAGCAAAACGTAGCACATATGGCCGAGTTGATGAGAAGTATGTGTTTGGAAAATCAATCGATCAAATGTGCCTTGAGAAACTCATGCTCTTTATCATTATTATTATCAAAAAGACAATCGAGGTGTTGGACTTTCAGACGACGAAGACGAAACTGTATTCGATGACGATGATGAAGAAGAAGAAAGTGAAGAAGCAATTGCAGATAAAAATAAGCCTGACGTTAAGGAGTTCAAGTCAAAATCTGCTTTGACTACTGTCACAGTTATCGAGGATATTGATCTGGATGAAGAGGATTAATTCACCATCCTCAAAATTCCCTTTTTAATTTTTTTTGTCGATTGAAGCCTTCCTCTACATATTCTCACATCGCAAAATAACAGCACTTTGTTTCCTATATGTATTTCATTCCTCCCCCTTTTCTTTTGCGATGTCCATTTGCATCATTTTCTACACAATCATTCTTTTTTACTCAATACAGCCAACACCACATTTTGCTCTCAAGCATCTCGTTAGCAGACAATGCTATTCTTTTGGCAACAGGATTCTACACATTTGCACTTGATCACTTTTTGTCAGACAGGATTATACAAAACAAAACAAAGCAAAGCAAAATGTGCTTTATGTACAATATAGGCAACTTTAGTTCTTCAATAGAATAAGGATATTGATTATCCTGTGCTGACAAGCACTTTATTACAAGGACAAGTAATTGCATAATGTGATTATTCCCTTTTATAAATATATATATATATATATAGTAGGTATTCATTGTTAATATATAAATAAAGCACACAAAGACCTTCCAATGTGGTTAAATCTAAATAAATTAAAGGGCCTATTCAATGAACATTCTGCCAAAAAAAATCTTGTGTATAAAATAGGCTGCCAAAAAAATAGAAAGTGAGAAAGGAAGAAAACAAGTTCTTCTTATTTGTTTAAACATCTTTATTCATTCGTATTTAAGCTATGGAAAAAAGGTACCTGATACACATCAGTGCTCGTATTGATTTCTGTACCTAATTTGTTTTTTTCTTTTTTCTTTTCGAGATTGGTTCAGATCGCTTGGAAGGGTTTATTACAGTACCAGTTCATGGGATATTACAAATTTTTCGGATATTCCCTGTGATACAAGAGTCTACAGTCCAGATATAAAGCTATACGGTGTACCATGGTATTAAAATTCTGTACAATATATGTGTATATCCTTGGTCTGATTTATTTACCTGTTTAAGCACTCGATTAACTAACGATTTATTCTTTATTTATATATAATAGGTGTCTTCAGGTACAAACTAATGTTGAATACGGAAAATGCTTTCCAAATCCCAGACTAAATTTGCGATGTTTTTATGTTACAGATATCGAAAGGAACCAAGGAAGATAAAAATGTACGTATTGTATCACACCTATATTGCTAGTATTCACGAATAAAATATAATTGATACAGGGATTTGAAGTCTTCTTTTACCTGAAAAACGTTAATCCTGAGAATAAAGCAGCTCAAGATGTATATGTTAACGCCACTATATCTGTTGGTCTTCCAGAATCTCATTATAATAGTTATGTTGGTAGTGTTTGTAAGGGTTAGTTTTCTTTCTTTTTTCAATATATATATATATTAATCATTCAACTAACACATCTTATATAGATTCTCGTGGAGAGTTAAAAGGTAATACCTTGAATAAACTATACTGTCGTAAAGAAAGTTACTTGACAATTTTATTCTTTTTTGTTGTTACAGCATCCCATGGATTTAGATGGACCCACTTTGCATCGCTGGATGAAATAAAACAAAGACTTGTTGGAGATACATTGACTATATCAGTTCGTGTAGGAAGAGACCTTTGTGCAAAGAGCAACAGACCAGTAGATCCCATAAAAACAAAGATCCTGAATCTCGAAAAGTACACTGACTCAAAGATGTTCCACGACGTACTCATTCACATCAATAATGACAGGAACAATCGGAAAAAAGGAGACAACCCTCCTAAAATTAACTATTGTGGTGAAGAAGATGATCATGACTTTTTGTACTATAATGCATCAGGAAATCGTACCTTTTACAGCCACAAGGTCATTTTGTGTGGAGCTTCTGGATGGTTCAAAAAGATGCTTGAGCCCAAAAATGGAGCTACGCAAAAAGTAGAACTGACACTTAATAATGTTGATCCCGAAGTTTTTGAAACGTTACTGTGTTGTGTATACTCTTCTGAGCTTCTTGTGGACGATTTTGTTGGTGCGATTGATCTATTAATACCTGCTAAAGAATTTGGATTCAAGACACTTTGTTCCCAGATCATGCGGTTCTTTAGACAAGATATTAACCACCAAAATATTTGGCTAGTGTGGAGTATGGCTAGTAAGTATATATAACTATTTACTTTATAAGAAATAAAGTCCATTTTTTCTTCTTATTGCAAGTATCATTTTTTTGGCATGACAACTAATACAAACTCCACAATACTAGACAGAACTGCTTGCACACAGACCGAAACTGCATGCCGAAAGTACCTTGAGGAAAATCCAGTCTTGTCTATGAAAAATGCTTGCTGGCTTGCGGTTAAAAGCTCGCTTGCTATTAATTTCATGAGTATGGAGACATTTACCAAACCTGTTGATGAATCTATATTTTTTGAAGCAGCTGTAGCATGGAGAACTCAAAACATGGAATGGACTCTTAATGGTGGTGGTCCAATGTAAGTCTATGAATATTTTTTTTTAAAAAAAAAGCATAAGACTATATCGCTAGAAAGAAAGAAACAACAAGACTAACGCATTGTTTTAGCCACGAGGAAAATGCTGTCGCAATAGAAAGGGGCTTTTCTGAAATGATTCGTTGTGTACGATTTCCACAGATGGATCCGCATTATCTAACAAATGTTGTGGAGAAAGAAGTTGTGTTTAAGAACATGAAAGGAAGCAAAGATCTGGTAAATTATATATTTACCAAAAACAGACTAGTTGTCTATTTACTAAACACAGGCGCGTATGCATGTATTTATTTGGCTTTTAGATACTTGAAGCCTACCGGTTTCATGCGGGCGCAAGTGAGCCTAGCTCTTTTAGATGTTATCCTCGGTATTCTCCTAGTGAGAGTATAGCATCAAAGGCGCTGGTTAAGAAAACATCCTAAGATCGATCAAGAACCGTTTGTTTTGTTAAATATGCTTACACTTAAAAATGACTACCATTGTTCCGACTAAATCTATATATTCTTTTGAAAAAGTAAATATATAAAAGAAACTCATTAAAACAGAACCTTCATTCTATTAGCTAAAGTGCGTTTTTTGTGAGATTTCTAGGAGGTTACACATCTGTAATAAAAATAAATTTGTGTCCTGTAATTACTGATCTTGAATCATCTGTTGTTTATCTATAAGCATAAAGAGAAATTCTAATATATAAACAGCCAGTAGGACCTAACAAGCGTCTTTTTTAACAACTTCTCTCCCAACTCTTATCAAGCAACACTTCACTACTCATATATAGGGTTGCGATGCTCAATGTAAACTATCATATGGATATTTTCATTTCATTTGATTTCATTTTGTTGTCGTTTTTGATTTTTAGCCCAGCATCACTTATCCACAGTTCTTGAACAATGAATATGTATTCACCAGAAACTGTGATATATATATCTATACTTCATGTCAAAGATATCAATCGATATTATTTGTGGATAGTAAAGTACAAAAGAATACTGTGCTTAATTTATCCCTGAAACCATATTGTAAACAAATCATTTATCTTGACATGACTTTGAAGTAATCCCTAAAAACTTTACAATAATTGGATCAGACACAATAAATCATTTGGTTTAGTACTTTTATTGAAACAGTAAAAAGAAGCAAAATACACAATGTTTTGACAAAGCTGTGCTGTTATTACTGCTGTAAATAATGGTACTGTAACACACCATACTCTTTAGACTTTATTTTCTCTTAAAAGAAAAGAACTAATTCCCGTTTTTTTGGATCAAATATGCACCCCAGTTCCTAAATCCAGATCTATAGACCTTTTCCTTTTCTTTTAAACTTTACGGTCACAGATTTACGCCATTTCCTGAACCTATTAATATATGTATATAAAGGAGATATTTAAACGCGCAATAAAAAGAAGAGGTATACAATTGACTTTCTCTTTCCTGTTCCAAGCCCTTCTACAAAATGACACTTCAGTAAGTAGTATTCAAATATAATATTAGATAGTCCAGACTAACAATATATAAGCGACTATGGAGATACATCTTACTACACGTACTATTGGAGAGTACCAAGATTCTCTAGCATTCCTTTAAAGACCGAAGTGAGGTCTGCATGGTTTCGACTCGACAAGTATTCCATGTATGTTTAATGACGAATATGTCGCTTAGAGCTACAGTCTCTTACTGATTTTTTTTTATTCTTCTAAAAAAAACTGTTAAACATGATACACTTTGCTATATACTTGAAACCTTAATAGGATGATCCAAGTAGGCAGTATAACTTACATTGCATTTTCTCTATCTTTATTTATACCTATACTCATATTGTGTAGTTTTACAAGGGCACAGAAGATGAGCCAAATGTATAAAATATTTTAACCAGATGAGAGACCTGGGTGAACTGTTATTTTAATTTTATAACATTGCACCATTCGACTGTGCAATAGGCTCTTCAAGTAGACTTGGTTATTCCAAGAGTACATGAAAGACTCAGTGACGAAGAAATGATAGAGCCTCTAAACGCAGTGATAACACTAGAATGCTTCAATACTACTACCAAAAAATATGAGCCGATTACAGAGAGATGTGAGTGAAAGATTTGCCAATTTTTTTTTTAAAAAAAAATGTTTTTGATAAATAAATCGATATTTGATTTTCTCACGCGTGTTGGTTTAACTTGATTTGATTGCTATAGTTTACAAGAATGAGAAAAAAAGTAAGAAAGCTAAAAGAGCACATAACATGTTTCAATTATACAAGTTTAATCCATCTATTGTTGAAATATCAGACGAAACAAAGTATGAATGCAAAAGGTTTATTTCGCTTGATCAATTATCGACTATTATAACAATGGATGAGATCCGATTTTCTGTGTGCCCCGAAAACAAGTCATCTAGTGGATATAACATGAGTCCGTTGAAAAGCCTCTCTCCTATAAATATAAAGAGCTTCAGAGAATCGGAAATATTTCACGATGTTCTTATTCGTGTAATAAACGACAATTCTGTACAAGATGTCTCAGTAGAGCTGTATGTAAACCATGATGACCAGACGGCTTCCGAAACCTCGAGTATTACGGGTACACCCTTGGAACAACCAGAAGAAGAAAGTTTTTTTGTCCACAGACTTGTCTTGAGTGCAGCCTCTGATCTTATTTTCGAAAAACTCATGGAAGAAAAGCATGAGGGATTCAAGAGAGAGATTGTCATTCGCGGAGTAGACCCAAGAATCTTTGAACGAATTCTTGACTTTGTTTATGGTTTATCCCCAGGGCCTAACAGCGTACAGGAGGCTATTGATTTGATTCCAGTTACATATCAACTCAAGCTTGATGGAATCCGCCAATACTTGTTCCAGTACTTACAGCTAAATATAAGCAACCAGAACATGTGGGGCGTCTGGAACTGTGCTGGTAAAGAAGAAGAAACAAGAGAGAACAAAATCAATAGTATACAAAAAACACATTTTTTTTACTTCTTAACATCTATCATTACTTTTGGGACTCCTTTCTATTATAGAAAAGTTCATGTGCCCAGATACTCAAGATATTTGCGAAAGAAAGATGAAGACTAAACCCTTGGACACGCTACAGAGTGTATATTGGTTCTCTTCTGATCCAAAGGTTGTTCTCAACGCTCTCAAAGTTGATTACCTTCAGAAACCCGTTGATGAAGTTGTGTTTTACGAAGCAGCTCTTATCTGGAGAGATGCGCAGATTAAAAAGGCCAAGAAATGGCTGTACTTGGACAACAAAAAGGTTGCCCTTTCCGATGTATTTGCTCAAATCATTGCCTGTATAAGATTCCCTCAAATGGACGCTTCTTTCTTATCTGAAGTAGTAGAAAAAAACGAGGCTGTAATGAACACTACGGGAGTTCAGGAACTTGTAGGTTTTTATTTATTTTTGATGGTTCTCAAGTCAAAGACTTATAGTATTTACATACATATATATATGTTTACAGATTTTTGAAGCGTACCGTTTCCAGGCTTGTGGAAAGAAGAAAATTACATCTGTGAGATGTTATCCTCGAAAGAGATTTTAGGGAAACATTGGTCTTTTATTAGGTTTCGCATATTGTGATGTTTGCTTTTTATTATACATTGAATGAATATATGAAGTTGTATACTTTTTTTTGAAGGGAGGGGATGAGTGCATTATGAAAAGACGTTATTAAATCTAAGCCTGTCTGGCAGCTCTTCTAGCACGAACACCTTCCTTGAGAGTGTCCAATGTCTTGACAGTGGCATCCCAGTTAATGCATGCATCTGTGACTGACTGACCATAGACAAGACGGTGGGGACCTTCGTTGGGAATATCTTGGCGACCTAATAAAAGTAAAAGCATGAATAAAGATTATTATTATTATTATTATTGTTTTTTGAGAAGAGAAAATAAACCTCTTTAGGTGCTTCTTCTCACATATAAAGACATGCACAGATAACTACACAATTTTCTTACCTTCAACCAAGTGAGACTCGATCATAACACCAACAATGTTGTCACCAGTCTTTTTGGGTTCAGCCAATTGGCTAGCCTATATATTCGCAATTGATGAGAAAACACTCAAGTCACAACAAACACACTCGGGTCACAACAAACACACTCAAACACTTGAATAATAAACAAATCTTACAATAGACTGAGCAACGATGGGCTGACGGTTGTGATCCTTGCTGCTGTTACCGTGACTGCAATCGACCATGATGTTGCTAGACAACTTGGCCTTCTGGAGAGCCTTGGCGCAAATCTCGATATCCTCAGCACTGTAGTTAGGTCCGCTCTTGCCACCACGCAAAATGACATGACATGCTTCGTTACCCTCAGTCTGAACAATAGCAGACAGACCCTGCTTGGTTACAGACAAGAAATGATGACCGTTGCTGGCAGCCTTGATAGCATCCATGGCAACAGTAATACCACCATCAGTACCTATTAAAACAAACCCAAAAATTTAATTAGTATACCACAAAATATATATGTTGTATGGTTTGTAAAAGAAAAAAGTTACCATTTTTGAAGCCAACTGGGCAAGACAAACCAGAGGCCAGCTCACGGTGAATCTGGGACTCGGTGGTTCTGGCACCAATAGCACCTAAAAGTACACACACACAAACAAACAAACAAATAAATAAAATAATAAGAAAAATATTCACTGGCACACACACATCTAAAATTTTGTAAAAAAATGCTGGTCTAATTGTGACTTACCCCAAGAGACAAGATCGCCAGTGTATTGAGGGGAGATCTACATCCAAAAAAAAGGGCACCAATGAATATCCGATTCCAATCTTTGTCTTGTATTTTCACGTGAGTTGTAACTTACAGTATCAAGGAACTCACAGCCAGTGGGAACACCCATTTCGTTCTGTGACGTGAAAACGGTAAGTGATCTTATCTTTTTAGATCTAATCTCATTTTTTTTTGTATTCTTAATTTACCAAATCCAAAAGCAACTGACGAGCAATACGAAGACCCTTGTTGATCTCGTAACTATATAATGACAGTTTAGAATTCATATTCCAGTATTACAAGTATTGGTATTATTCCAGGTTGTATTACCTGTTGTTCAGATAAGGATCGTTAATAAGACCCTTCCATCCAACAGTGGTTCTGGGCTTCTCAAAGTAAACACGCATAATGATCAAAAGATCATCCTTGGCAGTCTCTGCATATTCAATCAACTTGACAGCTACAAAAAGAAGTGTATAAGTTAACAGCCTCGTCTATAAAGTATATCAAAATCCACAAAAAAAAATAAGAACAATAATAATTTACCATATTCCTTGGCAGCCTTGACATCATGAATAGAACAAGGACCAACGACAACCAAGAGGCGATCGTCAGAACCACGAATGATGTTTTCAGCTCCTCTTCTACCCTCTACAATGGTCTGTGCAGCCTTGAGAGTGAGGGGAATGTCCTCCATGAGGATCTGGGGAGGAATCAAGGGCTTGATGCACTTGATTCTCTTGTCATCGAGTTCATTGAGGGCTGACATTGTAAGAGTGAGTGAGTGAGTGGGGGGTTGTTTTTTTTTGGGTTTAAGGAGGTGTAAAAATGCAAATTGGCTGAGTAAAATTGATGCCCTTTATTCACCTTCGTGGTAGACGGTTCTTGTAAGATTGGACATGATAAAAGAGCTAAAGAGGAAAGTATTAGACCGACTTCCAGGCGGAGATCATCGTACTTTATAACCTCGAGAATGACTCAACGGCACTCATATGCTATACAAGAACAATTGGCTCTCCAGCATGACTGCTTTGTTTGCATTGACTTGAACAATCCCAAATCATATAATCATATTTTGGTGATTTTTTTTTTCAATAGTCGAAAAAAGAAAAAAAAATGAATGGCTGCTATAATATAAAAATTTCGTGCATCCTATCATATCCTCAATAACATTTTTTTTTGAATACCATGGATTGGTTGATTGGATTAATGGTTTCCGGCGTTATTTTTCATGGCCTTTTAGTGTGTATTGGAGGAGTTCCTGGCAATAAAACATTCAACTAAAAAAAAAGTCTAAATATCATGTATACACTTCTTGATATTCAACTAGTTTAATTTTTTCAATGCTTTAAAAGCTTATTTTATTTCTTTCCCATCTGTACTGGGTACATTAATCTCAAGAGCACTATTTTATTTATTTATATATTTATTTATTTTAAAAAAAAAACATACAAACACAATAAAAGTATTTGTAAATGTCATATAAGCAAGTATTTATTTGTAACAATAAATTCATAAAAAATGTATCAAGCCAAGTGAGATTGTGTGATAATTTGACTTCATATAAAAGCCAAGTATTTTTTTTTAATACTTTCGTAAAAGAAAACATCTTTACACAAAAAAAAATTTTTTTTTGTGCAAACTATATATTTATATATATATATATATATATTGTATTATATATAATGATTAGCTCAAGACTAACAAGAAGATTTCTCTAATTGTGTAATACACACACACACTTATCTATATGTATGTATATAAGACCAATAAAACAAAATTAGAAGGGGACCGTCTCCTCAAGGGTTACTTAATTCCAACAAAAGTCAAAGGGCTTAGAGTTGCTGGCCTGAATATATCATATTCCTATCTTTAAAAACAGACTGTAGGGAAAATTCAACAAAATATATTATTTTGGTTGGTGGTACGATATAATACAGTGTTTCTACTTGAAATTGAGACAATTTGAGAAATGTTTTAGACGAATCAAAATGTAACTGTAGACAATATGTTTACCTTTTGTGGACGAAACGAGAATGAAATTTAGACAAAGAGAAACTAGTTTTCAAAGTAGGCGTAGATGTTTACATATTTACCTGTAATTGTCTAAGCGACTCAGAGGGACAAACTGTTTTCGATACACTGACAGGATTTTTATTTTTATTGTTGCTGCTGTGGGTATTGATGTGGTGATTGCTGGTTGTTTGTTGGCCTTTATCAGATCTTTGGAAAACTGTTGGTCAATGGGTTCCTTTCCAAGTTAACAAAGCAAGTGTCGTCATATTTTTTACAGCATTAACATGTCATTGCCACAGTGTATTATAGGCTTTAAAAACCAGTAAATAAAGTACAGCTCTAGATTGTCAAAAAGTTCAAATGTTCTTTTATAAAATAAACACAAATTGAGCATCTCTTTTTGACCAGCATTTAATCCTCTGTGACGATACAGTCACTGTAACGTAAACACCTTGTCTCTTTGAAACATTTAGACGATTGCAGGCAATATTTTTGAATAATTATCTACTTTGCCTGAAAACCAATTTCTCTTTGTCTAAATATTTCTCAATTTTTTTAAATGCCAAATAAAAGCCCTGTATTATTTATTTATTTATACAAAACTTTCGAAATAGATTATTGGTAGGTATATGCTGTACTCATTATCATTGTTAAGCAAATAGTATTTAATTATGTAAAGTAAGATGGAGGGGAAAGAAGGGGAGGCCACAGTCTTTGTCTCTTCTAATAATAACATGTATTAGGCATACGACCTCAGCCAAAATACTTGAATATATCAATATTTATTAAAAGATAAATTCTATAAAGATAAAATATAATCAATGTAAGAAGTGCTTATTTACTGAAAATGTGACAAGTTGCTTTATTACTAACATATGTCTTCATTTTTCTACAGATTTATAAGCATATCTGTATTTTGTAAATATGCAAGTACAAGTATAATACACGCTTGAAGATAATGTTCACATATTTGTTTATTTATTTATTAAAGGTAAATATTAAGTATACACATATATATAATTCCAGTCGATAAATCCTAACTTCCTATTCAGGAGAGTCCATCGGTGCTCCACATTTTGTTCTTGTTCTTGTGCTTGAGCTTCAAAATCTGCTACAATAAAAAAGAAAGAAAGAAAGAAAGAAAGAAAGAAAGAAAGAGATATAAAAGTACGTACCTGCAAAAACAAACACGCAAAAAAAACGGACCCAACGAGAAAAAAAAACTAACTAAAAACACAGTACGAAGTTGGGGACATCTCACTTATACGACATCCGGTGGATCAGCACAACACCGAGATGAAGGACGACTAAGCGTCAAAAAAAGAAGTTGGCGCAATGCCTTGAAACCCTCGGCCTCGTACTCAGAATCCTGGACACCACCAGAGCTCAGTCAGGGTCCCGAAGGTTAACCTGTTGGCTTGAACCTCGTTATATACAAAATAAGAACAAGATAAAATGCTGAGATGTTTTGCTTTAGCTTATGTTTTGGAACGATTACTCACCGATTAAGGAGCTCACCAAAGTACTCGCGTACTCTAATGAACTCGCCCGCTGGACCGCTATTTTATTTTTGAAAAAAAATATGCAGACAAAACACGTTAGTATCTTTTCATGTCAAGTTGGTAAGTAGTAAGCGTGGAAATTAGTAGCAGATTTTTGCACACAAGAACAAGAACAGGAGTGTCTCTTTAGGCTTCTGGCTATGTCTTGCTGTCAGTCTATTGCAAATAACAAGTAAAAAGTTAGATCTTGCTCATGAGTAATGCGCATGAGGTTGGTAGCATTAGCCATTCACTCGTTTTCTTGAATCCGTCAAAGTTGAAAATATGGAGCGCCTCTTTAAAAAAGAAAAAGGCGAAAATATGTTCAAGTTAGCTTATGATGCCGAAAGAGACACATTTGAGCTGGCTTTAACATGCTGGTGGTCTTTACATTCACTACTTACCTGGCGTAAACGTAGACAGACCTAAAAGAAGGGAAATACAAATAAACAGACGCGTATGCCCTTTAAATAATTTTTTCCTACGCCAATAGAGAGGACATCATCATCTATTAGTGATGCGAGCATTCTCACCCTCTGTAAGGGAATTTATGAGTGCGAAGGAGGCGCTGCAGTAAAAAAAGACGTGATTCAGAGGGCGATTCTGTAGAATGCATGTGATTTTTTTATAATAACCCCCTGAAGTCCAACTTTTTTCTCATAGTGGGTGAGAATGCTTGCATCACTAATAGATGATGATGTCATCTATATTGGCGTAGGAAAAAATTATTTCAAGGGCATACGCGTCTGTTTATTTGTATTTCCCTTTCTTTAAGTCTGTCCATGTTTACGCCAGGTAAGTAGTGAATGTAAAGACCACCAGCGTGTTAAAGCCAGCTCAAATGTGTCTCTTTCGGCATCATAAGCTAACTTGAACATATTTTCGCCTTTTTCTTTTTTAAAGAGGCGCTCCATATTTTCAACTTTGACGGATTCAAGAAAACGAGTGAATGGCTAATGCTACCAACCTCATGCGCATTACTCATGAGCAAGATCTAACTTTTTACTTGTTATTTGCAATAGACTGACAGCAAGACATAGCCAGAAGCCTAAAGAGACACTCCTGTTCTTGTTCTTGTGTGCAAAAATCTGCTACTAATTTCCACGCTTACTACTTACCAACTTGACATGAAAAGATACTAACGTGTTTTGTCTGCATATTTTTTTTCAAAAATAAAATAGCGGTCCAGCGGGCGAGTTCATTAGAGTACGCGAGTACTTTGGTGAGCTCCTTAATCGGTGAGTAATCGTTCCAAAACATAAGCTAAAGCAAAACATCTCAGCATTTTATCTTGTTCTTATTTTGTATATAACGAGGTTCAAGCCAACAGGTTAACCTTCGGGACCCTGACTGAGCTCTGGTGGTGTCCAGGATTCTGAGTACGAGGCCGAGGGTTTCAAGGCATTGCGCCAACTTCTTTTTTTGACGCTTAGTCGTCCTTCATCTCGGTGTTGTGCTGATCCACCGGATGTCGTATAAGTGAGATGTCCCCAACTTCGTACTGTGTTTTTAGTTAGTTTTTTTTTCTCGTTGGGTCCGTTTTTTTTGCGTGTTTGTTTTTGCAGGTACGTACTTTTATATCTCTTTCTTTCTTTCTTTCTTTCTTTCTTTCTTTCTTTTTTATTGTAGCA